TTTGCTTGCTCGACTTCGACACAGAAATGAGCCTGATGCTCTGTATGTTTCGTACAGGCTCGGCCGAGAGCTTCGTAGACCTGGCGAGAAGCTTGCCCTATAATCTGGTATCTTTCCACCTCTTGGCATGGCTTTACAGGAGGGGCTGCTTGTCTTTGTGACTGCAGAGAGGTTGATTTCAATGTCTGTGTCGATAGAGTTCGGAAGTCATCGTTCAATGAACGAAGATCACAAAGGGTTTGGTCTAGTCGCGGCTTTGAAAAGCTGAAGCGGAGCTTCTTAGCTATACGCCGCCTCCAGGGTTTGCTTCCGACGATGTCTGCTGTATCCTGTCGAAGCCTTTTGTCAGCACGTTTGCCAGAAGCATGGGACCATGATAGCATACCCTAGAATCCTGATCAATGGTAGTCTCGAGGTCTTGACTCTCGCCCTCAATGTCTCGAAGTCGCTCCTCAATCATCTCAACTGTCGTAATGCACGCATCTCTGGAATTACCAAGCAGGTGAGAAAGCTGCTTCTCCAACTCAACGTCTGACCATGAAGGGTGGTTTGCGCCTGAGGGGCCATTGAGCATGCTGGACGCGACATCATGCTCAACAATCTCTTCAAGCAGGATACGGCATTGGTTCCTGAAGATGGTCTTCTGGATACCCAGCAAATTGCGGAATCGGTCTGCTTCTTTCGCAAAGTTTTTATAGCGTATGAAGGGGCGCAAGCAGTCGTCGTAGTGTTCAGCAGCAGATGTCAGGAGCGGAAGAACCCCGAGCGCCAAGCCCGCTACAGTCTCGACTCCAGACATTGAGGCTCCTCAAGTTCTACAAGCAGAAACCATCCTCGACTACATTGAAGGGGAAACGATCAGAAATGATCGTGCTAGTGACAGTCGAGGATAGAGTCTGCTGCTTCTGCACTAGAGTACAACGACAAGCTTCTAAAGCACAGCCCGATATGTTCATCCGCCTGGCCTATCACGGTCAAGAAGGCAACGAGGCTGTCATGCAGGGCGCAATAGCTGCAAGGCTGAGCGCGGGACCAATGCGCTCTTTGCTGGTCTTTCTTGCTTAATGTTGGAGGCTATGGGCTAGGCATCTGTACCCTCTTCTCTTCTTGCAGTTCATGCCGCAAGATATGCAGGATGGTATATACAAGAAGGGGGGCGACGGATGTAATGACTACATGCTACAGTGGCTCCATGCGGACGCCTCTGGCCCTATAGCAGACAATGGAATTCCTGCTGGTGGCGAAGACAGTCTGGGCTTTGCCGCTCCCCTCTATCACCTTTGTCTCCGCGCACTGCAAGATTTCTATCGTCAAGAACGCAATAAACGCAGCTCTAGATCGCGCTCAATTGTCCTGAGAGAGTGTCTCGGGAGGCTTTATCTGTGGGGCGAACCCTTTGGCGTCGGGGAGCTTGACAGAGCACTGGAACAGTCTGATGAGTTGAGAAATGATGTAGTAGAGCGCCTCGTTCATATTGGGAAGCTTCTTCTGCACGGTAAGCCTTCAGTCGTCGAATGAGACTTTGCTAACATCTCTGAAAAGAACTGGCAAAGTCGGTTCCTCTTTCGAAAGCCCCACATCAGCCGTCGAAGCAAGTTGAAGAACTTGAGTCTGCCATCAAGCAAGGAAAGCTCATAATATCTGGAGACCAGCACGAGATACCGCAGAATGGTCATGATAGCGATGAGGAATATGGTTCTGGAAGAGAAGGCTCGTCGGACAGCGGCAGCTACGATATATTTGAAGACCTTGACTTTACCACTACGTGCATTATGGAGCTTGGACCAAGTCTGGAGCAGAATCTTAAACAAGCTGAAAATGCTCGAGTCCAACATTCATACCCCACAATTGTACCTTTCTCTGTTTCTGGCCCTGCCACGATATATGTGTCATTAATTCGAGAGAAGTTCAAAAAGGCACACTACAAGTTGGTTGAACGACTAGGAGAAGCCAATTGGCAGAGGCACAAAGATGTTCGGGAGAAGATGGAGAACACGGAACACTCCCTTGAGGGAACAAAGAATCTTGCTCGTGAAACAGGTACTGCATCGTCCATTTTTCGACCATATTCAGATTTCCACGATTCTGGAATTGGCACAACTATTCCAGCGCAAACCGAGTATGCTCCATCCCATACCTCCTTTCAATCGAGCAACAGCGAAGGAGAACGAAACTCGCCTCGAGTACCTAGAGAACCCCCTGAAGTCGGTGCCAGAAAACGATTCCAATGTTTTTTGTGCAGACGCATTATTTCAAACGTCAAAAATCGTGTGGACTGGAAGTAGGTCCCAGCAATCTGTTCCTGTCGTTAAGGAATCTAAAACTAATGCAGTCCTAGGATGCACGTTTTTGCCGACCTACAACCATACATTTGCACGTTCTCAGACTGTGGTGATGAGCTAGCCCAGTTCACTACCCGGGTAGCGTGGGCCGATCATGAATTTACTGAGCATCGCAATGACCGGGCGTGGAAGTGTCTAGAGTGTTCGAAGAGATTTACCAGTGCCTCAGACTGGGAGCAACACCTTCAGGAATTTCATCGACGTGTATTTAGCGGGCTTCAGCTCCATGTAGCCAAGAACACGGCGTACCAGATACAGCCGAGACCAATCGCGACTGAAGAATGTCCCCTGTGTCGTATCATTGTTGGGAAGTCCCGCCGAGCATTTGTTAAACACGTTGGACGACACATGGAAGAGATCGCGTTAATGGCCCTGCCCCGGAATACGGAAGAAGACTCGAGTGACGGCTCTATCAGTACAGATCAGATCTCTGTCGGATTAGAAAAATATGAGATGCTGGCTGCCGAGACAGGCCTTGAAGCGCGTGAGGACATGAGCAGTCATCAGACTGAATACGGTGCGACTAGTCTTACCACCAATCAACCAGGAGTAGCTGATCAAGAATTAGAAGCTGCTAGACTCAACCGTGAGTGGGATCATTCCCAAAAGGACGATATCGAGGATGAGGACGAAGAGGTGACAAGATGCATTTGCGGCAATCAAGAGTACCCAGGACTGCCTGTATCCTCTGGCGAACCTAGCAAAGGAGGCGCCAAAGTTTATTCAGATCCTGCGGCTTTTCGAGAAGATGCCACTGGATGGTACATTCAATGCGATAGCTGCAATGTTTGGCAACACGGAGGCTGCGTCGGCATAATGGATGAATCCACATGCCCAGAAGAATACACCTGTGAGCAGTGCTGCCCAGGCTTGCACGATATTAGAACGACAGTCAAAGGGTACGTACCCCTCGGGGGTCTCGTTGAACCATGCTAATAAGACGAGTGGTAGGCGGAAATACTCTCTTTATCTTCCTGTCCATCAGTCGCAGAAAATGGCCTCGAAGCAAAAGTCAACTCCTGTTTTTGTGCTTGGAGACAAAACGTCAGTTGACTCAGTTGACTTGGCCCACAACGATACCACCAGCGCACCGTTGAACCGAGATGGAAATGATGAGACACCACTCGCAAGAGCATGTAAATTCGGCAGCATAGAAGAAGCTGAGAAATGTTTAAAAGAATGTCCGACGAATATCAATGTACCTGACTATGCAGGTAATACGCCACTACAGACCGCTGCCCTCGAGGGTAGGACCGAGATTGTCCAGCTTCTGTTGACTGCTGGATGCGACATCAGTTGCGAGAACATGATCAAGGACACTCCACTCGTTGATGCCGTTGAGAATGGTCACCTGGAGGTAGCAAAGATGCTGCTGAGGGCAGGATGTAATCCAAAGCAGACTGACTCGCGTGGAAAGACGATATTAGGCCTAATTAATACGAGTCACGATAACGCGGACAAGATGCGAGAAGCACTTGAGGCAAGTCTCGCCCATTTCGGACCTGACGTCGAAAATGAAGTCGGAGGCTACATCATAAAATGCATCTGCGGCTTTCCAAAGGATGATGGGAACACCGTGTACTGCGACCCGTGTGACACTTGGCAGCATACCCAATGTTACTATACAGACAAGGACGGTAATGTGCCCACAAAAGAGGAACTCGAAGATTTCGATCACTTTTGCGCAGATTGCCGACCAAGATCGCTCAATGCAAAAGGTGCCACCGAACGACAGTGGACCCGGCATAAAAGAAGAATATGCGAGTGCCACATTGACACAACGTCATCCTGTCTATGGGAACTCCATCTTCTCGGAAGGCCAAAGCGTTTACCGCACTGGTGATGCCAATGATAATATTGCAGACTTTCCGTTCGAGCCAGGGACAGCCAAGGGCTCTGTGGTGGCTCAACCTACATCTGGTGGGCAGGATGAGGATGGAAACACTGACAATGTTTCCGAAACCGGTTTTCCAAACCGCGAGATCGACGATTTGCCTCGACCCTTTCAAGGCTTAATTCGCGAAAGCGTAAAGCCAACTCGCATGGCTAGACACATCCGAGTAGAAACCCTCCAGGCTGCATCTATCTAAGGCATAGATTCCCAACGCAACCACGCATGTGAGGGCCCCTCTGTGAAGGGATTCGCAGGGGATTGTCTGTTATCCTTTGGGGGTGAAATCTTGGCGTCATCTCTAATGAGGATTTGCTGCACTGCTGCCTAGTAGTCGTTTAGATTGATAGGTTGCAAACGGGGACCGCCGCTGGGGATGCATTGGATCACTGCATTCGATGCACTCTCAATCAAAAACCTTTTGGGAGAGAAAGGAGCACCAGGACTGTCTCCGGGCATTCTTAGAGAGCTTGCAAGTACAACGCAGTCTTGTGAGAAAGTGTATGCAACATCCAGATAGCGATCGCCTACGAAACTAGCTGCCTCTCTTGGGTGAAACTCAGTGTGTAGGAATATATCGTCCCTAACGGCTATCATGTACCTCTGTAATTTTTATTGATTTGTAAGAAATACACGCACGCAATCTTAGCACTAATCAGGTAATCACAATTACAAATCCGATATACAAAATACGCAGTACATATGAACCAGGGCTGCTTCTTCACTACAGGCGAAAACCGAGAGTCTACTTCTCAAAAAACTGAACAATGGCATCTACAATCACCGCCCCATCAACCACTGCACCCCATCTTCTGAGCAACAATGACCACGAAGTCCAGACGAGCCAGTCGACCCCGAAAGGACCTGAGGCCCACGACGTAGTCGCGGATTTCCACTACTACAAAGACCCCGGCGATGGCAGTCTCCCAGCACCGAGCTACGTCGGCAGACCGGAGACATACGAGCGACCGGCCGAGACGAGAACGATGGTCGTGCACGACATTCGTGGAGAAGAGGACAAGTACAGCTTGGACAAGACGGGGTTCCAGATCTATAGACATGTCAGTCAGGAGAGCGCGTTTGAGGATGAGGCGGAAATCGAGAGGGTTTACTACCCGGAAATCGAAGAGATTTTGAAGTCTGCGTAAGGTCATCTTTCTCGTTTTGGTGTTGATTTCATCAATCTAGCCACCGTATTCGCGCAAAGACTACACTCCGTACTAACCTCAATCTTCCCAGCACCGGCGCCTCCGAAATCTTCATCTTCGACCATACCATCCGCCGCCAATCCTCCGACCAGCGCATCACCGACGCGGCCAAAGCCCTCCGCGGCCCCGTCCAACGCGTCCACATCGACCAATCCTACAAAGCCGGCCCCGAGCGCGTCCAGCACCACTTCCCCGCCGACGCCGAGCGCCTCCTCAAAGGCCGCTACCAGATCATCAACGTCTGGCGTCCCATCAAGACCATCCGCAAAGACCCGCTCGGCGTCGCGGACGCCACGTCCGTGCCCGAAGAGGACCTTTTGCCCGTGCAGCTGATCTATCCGGATCGTGTCGGGGAGACTTTTACGGTTCGTCCGAGTGCGCGTCATCGCTGGTTTTACCTAAAGGAGCAGACGCCGCGGGAGGTGATGTTGATTAAGTGTTTTGATTCTAAGCTGGATGGGAGGGCTAGGAGGGCGCCGCATAGCGCGTTTGTGGATCAGGGGGCTGAGGGTGAGAGTCCTAGGGAGAGTATCGAGGTTAGAGCGTTGGTCTTCCATCCGGATGATGTTGAGTGAGGTCGGAACGTAATCGGCTAAAGACTCGAGATCGACGCGGACATAGCACTTACTGCAATGTCAACCACATGAACCCATCTTTGAGTATCTATTGTAATGCCCCTATTATGAAACAGTGGATTCCAATCGGACTTCGGAGCAGATGGCTGTTCTATTCTGCCACTCATTTGTTCGCCGTAAATCCCTAACACCACGACTTGGATAGCCACCAACGTCGACGCCGGTACATGGATTCCGAATACACCTTTGCGCCGCCGCTGCGCGGTAGCATGCAGCCGAGTTCCACGGACACGGCGAGGCCGCAGGCGGCTATGATGGCGCCAAGAATCCAGACTGTCAATGCAAGACCGACGCTACCTACGGATTTGTAGATGTTTCCCGGCGTGACGAAGATGCCGGAGCCGACAATGCGCGAGACGGTGAGCATGTAGGCGGAGATCCACGGTCAAATTGGGGCCAGAGGTGGCAGTTTCGGGTAGGGTGTCGAGTTCGGTGGAGCGATCATTGGAGGCGGGTGGGACGTGGCCGTCATGTAGGTTGTTTGTAAACTGATTCGGCTCAACAGAGGTAGTGAAGGGTGGCTCATGATCGAGGAGAGGTTGCAGCTCGTTGGGAGCTTTAGGCATCACAAATCTAACGCTGTGTTCCTACTCCCCCATGGAATAATTGGATGGAATTCGTCGAGGCTGCGATTGTAACGGTAATGGCACTTGGACAGAACACGCTGGTAAGCAAGCAAGTGATGGAGGAAGCGGGATATAAATCAGCGTGAGGTGTTGCATATCTATGTATTGAACCACTTTATGTACGCTGACTTTTGAGGAGGCACTCCGTTGAGCGCGTGTACACACCTACACAAGATCAATCACGACATCTGATGAGTGATGGCTCTATGCAATTACGTCGTTCTTGGCTCGTTTCTTAGCCTATACTTGTCGCGTAACGCGTCGTTTTCAAGTATCAGACAGCAAAATATAGATTCGATAGTAAACATGCTGGCGAGAACGACGGATATAAGGGAGAGTCCTAAAAGAAGCAGAACAAGGTGCCGGAAAAACATCCGTAAAGTACTTTAGGCAGTCCGCGTCTAGAACGACCATCAATGAATCACATACAGAGTTGATCTCAACTTACCAATCGGGCAGCGCCGCTCTCACTCGCAACGCGTCACCAGAGTGATTGCTCCTCATGACAAGGGTGGGCTGCTGGCTGAATCCTGATGCTGTTGGCGTTACAAATCATCCGCTGCATATCCCTCGGCTGCCGGATCAAGTGGGATTGGAGCGTAGCGACAGAGAAACACACAACTCCCAAGGATTCGAACCTTACGAAAGACTCACTCGCAAAGATTGACATAGTTCGTTCAATTATTCCTGTTTGTATATCGTGTTGTCCCAGGAGTTTTGGAAGGCCTTGCCTTGCCTTGTCAGCCGCCGCCTAGATTATAATCTAGCCGACCCTACCCGGCTAGCGGCTTGCAAAACCACTTTATGAAGTTAGAGGAGTTCGACAGTTGTGAAAGGTTACCTAGAAACTATCGTTTTACCTAGGAGGAGGGATCTATAAAAGTCATATAGTTAGGGCGCAGTACCCCAAAAAATTGACAATTTCACAAACTTTCCCTAAAAATCGTTGTTTTACCTGTGACGAATTTTCATCTTTTCAAGTATTTCGTCCTTCCTATTGTGAGTTGATATTCACTCTATACATGACTTTTGCTACACTCTCTTCCTTGTATATACGAGCCTTACACATCCATACATCATAGCTTTTCCATTTCTGTCCCGACAAGCTCTATGACGTTTTCTTTCTCTGTTGTCTATGCCCTCAGACTTTCCCAATTCTCTGCACAACCATCGCCGTTGCCGCCCCGCCCCCATTGCAGATAGCAGCGACCCCATACTCCCCCACCTCCAACTGATGCAACAGCGTCGTCAATATCCTACTCCCCGAGCTCCCTAGCGCATGACCCAGACTTATCGCACCACCAAGCATATTTACATTCCCACCATCCAAGCCCATAATCTTCTGGTTCGCTTTGATAACGGCCGCAAACGCTTCGTTGAATTCCCACACCGAAACTTGATCTTTCGAGATTCCCGCTCTTTCCAGCGCGATCGGTACAGCTTTAGCGGGCGCGACGGGAAAATCCACCGGATCGACTGCTGCGTCGGCGGAAGAAACGATGCGGGCGAGGACACGGCTGCCGGAGCCATATTCAGCTGCAACGTCTTTGCTGCCCAAGACTAGCGCTGAGGCACCGTCGTTGAAAGTTGACGAGTTCGCTGCCGTGACTGTTCCGCCATCCTTCACAAACGCAGGCTTGAGTGTGGGCACCTTCTCTTCCCTCAGGTTATCGTAGCCCTCGTCTTTTTCAATGACCGTCTCCCCTTTCTTCCCTTTTATCGTAACAGGCGCAATCTCATCAGTAAACTTACCCTCCTTCCACGCTTTCTGTGCACGGTGGAAACTTTGAATCGCATACTCATCCTGCTCTTGTCTAGAGATGTTGTGTTTCTTGGCGGTTTCTTCAGCACAAACACCCATGTGGAATTGATTATAAACATCCCACAACCCATCCTTAATCAGTCCGTCCTCCATACTAATAGTCCCGAAAGGGGGATGCTGATTTGACCTGGGCATATAATAAGGTACACGGCTCATATTCTCCATGCCTCCTGCAACTTGTGCTTCCGCGAGGCCCAATTGTATATTCTGTGCCGCAAATACCACGGCTTTCAAGCCTGAGGCACATACTTTGTTGATGGTGACTGCATCCACGGTAGGGGAGAGGCCAGCCAGCATGGAGGCTTGCCGAGCAGGTGACTGTCCGACGGAGGCTTGGAGAACATTGCCCATGTAAACATCGGTAATCTTGGACGTGGGAACGCCGGACTTCTTCAGGGCGGAGGTAATGGCTGTTGCGCCGAGTTGGGGGGCGGGGACTGGGACAAAGGAGCCGTTGAACTGGTTCGTATTAGTGCAAGGACGTGAATGAGCAAAGACAGAGCAATACTTTGCCGGTGGGAGTCCGGGCGGCGCTGAGGATGTATGCGTCCCGGATCTCGCCCCTCGAAGCAGGACTGGTGGAGAGATGCCGTCTGACTTGAGCAACGCGTTGTAGGGGAGAGTGGCCTGCTGAGTGGGACGACAGCAAACGCTGCGAGGTTCTTGGTAATGTGGAAGACATGTCTGATGATGATGTCTGAAGGATGGAAAGTTCGGAGAGTCTCTTGCATGAGACCAAGTTGTACCGAGGCCAGAAAATGTGGGGCTTATCTCCGCCAAAAGCCGGTAAATAATGGCTTTTGAGGCTTGCTTTTCGTTATTCACAGACGGGGGTATTTACTCATCAAGATAGGAGCTCTGTGACTATCGTACAATGTTGTTTAGTCTAGACCTCTTAAAGCGTATGCACATGCTTCCAACGCCGACTTCTTGAACACGCAACACTCATTCCCTTTGTATCATGCGAACCCAGTCCCACCCTACCCAAACGCATTGTTCATAGCCTTATGCGCCAACTCCACCCCCAGAAAGGTCACAGCATTCGCCGGTACGGCCCTCGCCATCGCCGGCCCCATGCCGGGAAAGAACGCCTTAAAGCCTCCACTCGCATAAAGTCCTCTTATAGTGCCGCCAATCGTTGGTCGTCCCTCAGCACTTTGCAATCGACTCTTGATCGTATCAATCGGGAAAACAGGTATCCACATGGCCACACCCGCTGCCCCACCCGCAGTCATCACTGCCGTCAAGCTCAACTCCCCTGACGGGTTCCCATCTGCGTCTTTCGGCGTCATCTTTCTCTTCACGTATTCATAACTGGCAAAATATGTAGCGCTACCAGGCCCATCTCTTGCGAGCGTCATTGCAGAGCCGCGGTAGACGGATCGTATGCCGCCTTCTTTGTAAAGCTGACGCACGACGTCCATGCCGCCTGAGTAGCGGGGCTTTTCGCCTGGCGCCAGTTGTTTCTGGCCTTGAATCTGGAGGAGAACTTTTACGCGTTCGAAGGGAGCTGTTATGATGGTCATGGGGATGGCGGAAAAGAAGCCGGCGGTCGAGGTTTGGCCGATTGTGAAATGGGCGTCTGAGTTTGTTTGGGGGGAGAATGCTCGGACGAGCTTTTGACCAACATCATAGCCCTGGGTACATTCAGTGGGTGCTTGGAGGCGGACGGTGGAGATCGCGTACCCAGAAGCTGACAGCGACTGTAAGAGGAAATCGTCAGTCTTGGGGCAATGAGCTGGAAGTTCTGGAGCTCTCACACATCGGCGTCACGCCTACTAGAGGTGCCGATACACCCGCATATAGACCCTACCAAGTTCAATCAGCATGGTGATCCATTTCCTTCCATATGCCCTTGAATGCCTACCTTCCGTAAACCTTCCCGAGCAACAGTCTTCCTCACAACATCGAGAGCCCCACTATAAACTCCCTTCTCCGCCGTCTGCATTCGCACCTTCACCAAATCGAAGGGATGTCCCACGATGACAGCACATATTCCACCAACACCTCCGGCGATAAGGGAGCGGAAACTGGAGAGCGTTTGTTTTGAGGCTTCGACGACTTCAGTTCTGACTTCCTCTGCGGAAGGTATTGAAGGGCCGGTCGACGATGACGAAGAGGAAGACATGTTTTAGCGCAGAAAGGAGAGAAAAGACAAGAACGTGAAGAGAAAAAAGGGGAATGGGAGCTTCTTGTTGTGGGACGCAATTGTGGAATTTGGGTTGAGGATCGACAGCCGAGGCACACAGGCTTGCCAAGCCTGCCTTTTCTCCGGGGGGCCACCTTCCTCCGCCCCTCAACTTCACCCTTCGACCGCTGCCCTGACGACATGTCATATGGTCATGGCTGGCCGAATCCAAACGTATGAAAAGCTACATCAGTATCTATTGGATGAGATCTTGCAGCGAGCTTCGTATGTGCCGTTTGATGTCCGGAGTGGTGCGGTCAGCCTTTCGACCTTTCTGCAGCAGAAATGCAATGCTGTGCAGAGTAAGCGTGGGCCCCACCAGAGGTCATTGTGACGGGTGTTTAGGATTAGGCATTGTCTTCCTGACTGAACCTGGGGACTGTGGCATGGAATGTGACCTCAAGTTGGACGCTTCCTTGGACCATAATTCCTCGAGGATCGGCCAGCTGGAGCGACTTTACTGATGGCGGTTGCGATAGGCAAACATAAGCTCAACAGATCGAGTAGGTTTTGGAAGGGAAGTCGCTCACGGTTCGCGGAGGTTTTGGGTATTTGGAGAGCTGTTGCTGCGCGAATGCGCAGCTCTGGCACTCTCGGACAGAATTAGGTTTCTGGTGAAGTTCCTTATCATTACGTACTCGCTCTTTACATCCTCTACTCTGGTGTTTTGGACACAGTTCTTTCGCCTGATTTGGTATCGCGATGTTCGTCCATCCCATCTTCTTCACCTCGCGCTCAGGCGTCACTCTTCAATACAACGTCAAATCGACACTCTCAATACAATCTCTCTTGGGCACCGCTACTTTTAACTCTGTGCTTTCCATTCAACTCATCTTCTATTCCTCGCGTTTAAGCGCCGTCCTTCAGTATATTCTTCCTTAAGCAACAATTAGATTGGGACTTTCAACATAATCAGTGTCGAACCCTGCTAATCTTGAATTTCGTACTCTCCTTTTAATCTAGCCCTCTCTATACAATAAAGTCGAGCTTTAAGTATCGCACCTTTATTTAACAAATTTTTCTTCGCGCGTTAAGACGCGTTATCAACAATGCGCCCTTGACTTCAATCAGCCGCTGCTCCGCCCAGCTCCTTCTGCTGCCCCCGCTGCGGTGCTTCTTGATCAATGACGTGACCCTTGACCCCATCCAGAAACCCATTATCCAGCGCATGCTTCACAGCCGGGTACACAGCCCGCGCAAAGTTACTGTTCTGCGCTTGCACATACTCGAAATTAATGCCATCAAAAGCGCCAAAGATCTTCTTGCTCTCATCCGTAGATAGCAACGTCTGTGTACCACCAAGCAGCGAAGAAGTCCATCCGTGCAGCGTGTTCGATAAGCGCCAATCTCTCTGCCAGGTGTTTGGCGGAATGAGCTGGAAGTTCTCGATGAAGTCTGTAAGGTTGTCGATAGGGTGGTTGTTGACAGCAGGCTTGCCGACGTCCTCATGTACGCCGTATCATTCCTTCAGATCTTGCATTTCCCACGACGAAGGGAAGAAGGAGTCTTGCGGCAGCACCAGCACTTGATTATCAGCGGGGCTGAAATCCTTGGCTAGAGTGGTCAGCAGCCACGTTGCATTGTCCGTCGAAGATGACGTCTTGTAGGGCGTGGTAGGCTTTCATGAAATTGTTGTCGCGCGTGGATAGGAGGACTGCGGGACAAATCTGGCCATTCATCTGTCTTCCTATGAAATTTTCGAAACCGGTGCCGCGAAGTGGTTTCAGGTCTCGGAGGACGTAGGAGTCCTCGTTAAGGAAGATACCCCCGTATTTTACGAGCGCATCAGTGCGGACAAAATCGGACATGTTGGGTAGTGCTACGACTGTTTTGCCTGTCGTGGTGTTCGTAGGAGGTGTTGAATGGACGGATTCAAGGTTGGATATCTTGCCGATGGCTTGCATGTACGGGTTGATGGCGGTCGCGATCTCCTTTTTGACAATGTCGTCCACCACATTGGTGTGGATGTAGATGGTCTCTGGTTTGAGGAAGTGCCATGCAGAGTATATGGCAATGAAGTGGCGGAATTCGAATCCGAAGGTAGGAAGGCCGGCTTCTCTTTGGGTTTGATAATGTGGACGAAATGAACGATGTTTGGGACTGTTGTTGCTTGCAACAAAGCCGAGCTTAGCGTGCGAGTACCCTCAGCTCTCTGCACGGACGCGGCGATGACATCCACGTCCTAAAGAACGCCTGGCTAATGAAAGTTCTTCGTATCTATTCAGGCCTTCCACCTCCATCGCCGCTGCTTTCCTTGAGGGTTTTTACGAGCGTGTGCTTGAACGCGTCCACGAATACGCTCTAATGATGAGCCATCTGAAAGTAGTGTCCCTTTCTATACTAGACTTGCACTTGGACTTTACGTGCGACTCTGCCGAAGTCTCCTGGGATTTGATAGCCTTCGTTAGGGCAATGCTAGATGCAACCAAGAGAGGTTTCACGGGGAAGTTCAAAGCAATTGTGTTTCACGGCCCTACGGAAACGGTGGTGAATGTCGCGTTGCGGATTCGGGGGCCCGCTGATCCAAATGATAGTACGGAGACTAATACCGGGCTATGAGTGCGCTGAAAAGGGTGTCAGCACACCATGTTCTCAGAACAAGGTAGCGGCGTTAAGTTGATTCTTTCAGATGATAATCCGACCATACTGAGACCGGGATAATTCACATGTAAGAACGACCTTTGTACATCAATCTACATTGGTCCTCACTCTTTCCCCAACTAGTATCCCTTATTACTATCCTTCCCCATATCACACTACAGATACTAAGTCGTATCCCAGCTCGTGCTGTCATGGTTCTGAACGGAGTGGACTCCTTATTGACCAGGCATGTACCCCGCGGCGCTGGTTTTTACCTGAGAACACCCGCGGATAGTATGCATTACCACTGACATGTCCTCTTGACATCACGTTACAAAGGGGGATGTCAATAGTGTGTATTCCGAACAAGGAAACGTCTTGACCACTTTCTTTTCTGTGCCTACAATGCATCGGAAACAAAGGAGACAAGACTCGTCCTTGTCAGATCCATTGTCGAACAACTGCCTCACAGTTTCTTTCACTTGACCCACGCAATGTCCTCTTACTTCAACACGTCCGAAATCGAAACAAGGAAAACTTACCGACACAACCCTCTCATCAACATCCAGTCGAGCAAATCCGTAAAATCTCCCATCTTCCACCTCCACAAGAACCAATCTTAGCAAACCTCGGGCAGCGAGCTTTCGACACTATCGCGGCAATGCAAGAGGCAGATTGGGGCAGATATGCTCAAGCGCCTTTCATGACAGTACGAACATCGCAAAGCACAGCCGTTTCAACTAGCTGGAAGCAAAGTAAAGCAAAACAACCCGCGCAAACATTCGCCACTGATCGCACGTCTGACTTCTCAAAGGACACGTCCAGTCACGATGAAGACAAATTCCGCGCCGAAGTAGATCTCGCAGATCTCAAAATCAAGCAACGGCGCTGGAATTTCGCCCGGAGCTGGAGACCCGCATCCTCTGATAGTTCGCTAGCCGACGAGCCGCATATAAGCCCCCGGAGTCGTACTTGGCCTACCAAGGTGCCGTTGTCCGCTGATCGAACAGACAAGGAGAGAGTCGAAGACGACGATCTCCGCCTACGAAATACGATTGCAAAACCCAATCCGGCGCTCGACAGACGGCTGATGGGCCAATATCTCGACAGGTGCATCGCCGCTACAGAATCACAATTGGCAGGGGGAAGGAATAAGTCGAAGAAGAAAGAGGCCGTGAAGGAGATTGAGCGGCTGGTGGAGAAAGTAGTGAGTGACGCAGATGGGTTTGGCGCGCGAGAGGGATGAGTCGTCTACCAAGGAAGTATTCCCTGTACCTCCTGCCTTCCTCTTGCAATGACTTATTGCGAGTTATCACAACACCGCCTCCATCAATCTCTTAGACAGGAAGCCGGACGCGAGTTCTAAACAGCATGAAGCACTCATGGGTCTTGAATTACTAATGGGTCTGATCCGCGAGATTGAAGGGGCAGCTGTAAGTGTTCATCCTCTCGTTGAATTTGCCTCGTTGACGTGATCGAAAGCGTGTGATCAAAACCGAGCCGACCGTTGGCACAGTCCAAGATGAGACTCGCAATGTGAACCGAGAGATGACCCGGCCTGCCTTAGTATCTCCTCCTTAAAGCTTAAGTAAACTTAGATATACGAGGTTATTTTCTATTTAAGAAACGCTCGCACGATCTAATACCTTCAGAATATGATGTTGATTGTAGGATTTAGCCTCTTTCTTGTCATGTGATAGCGGTAATGTCGGACTAAAATCAATCGTTCGTTATGCCAGAATCATTCAAAGACTCAGGACCAGCAAAAAGAGTCCTTAGTATTAGGACATAAGCGAAACGTCAACTTCGGTGTCATCGACAAAGAAGGCTAGGCCCGGCGACAACTCGACTGCACCAATCAACAGTGGACCTGGTGATGATTGGTGCCGATATTTACTCCTGGAGCTGGGCCGCTCTTCTGCCTCCACTGTCCGTGCTTACTTGAAGTTTAAGATAGACTGCACGACCTCGTCCCTAATGAAGTATCGGTTGGACTGCCAGTCTCTTGTATGATTCCTTCGCCGGTAATGGATGGCTTATCGCTATTGTGAAACTATTACGAGTAGAGCTAGTTGGCAAAGAATCAAAAAAAGATATCCATGCATGCCTGAACGGAGAGGATGAGGGCCAATCGCGCATGTCGTGCCACAACGAATTCGCCACTTCATCCTCTCCATTCCCCCTCCCCTCACAATGCCATATTCCTCATTGGCCAGTGCGCGCCTACATCGGGAGCTTCAAACGTCCTCGCGCGAGCTGTGAAACAAGATTGCCATACCCAAAGTTCGACACTGATATTTGATAGGTGTTTACCGATCCCGGATCGCGAACCAAGAATAGCCATGTCAGTGGCAGATGAAACCCGCTGGCGCCAAGTCACGTGGGACTTGGTCCAAGCTTCGGAAGAATCGATATATCTTCTCTAGACATTTTCTCTTCATCTTTTTTTTCCCCACCAGCAGTTTACTTTCATAATTCCTTCTCTTGTTCAATACGTTCTCTTTAGTATCAGCAGGTCTGATAACCAGCGCCTATTTGTACATACACACACATACTTCACACTTTCTTTGCACAATTTCATTCGTCATCAGCAGGTCTGATACCTAGTACATACCTTCACCATTACATACCCAGACCTTTATTAAACATCAAAATGCGTCTCTACCTCGTCCTCCTAGCGCTCTCCACCCTCGCAGCGGCCGGACCGCTCCCACCCTTCCCGAAAGCTGCCCTAGAAGCCCGCGCTCCTCCCTTTGTAAGTCCAGTCCCTACCGGAAAAGGCCACGGCTGACAACATGACCCCACAGACGCCAGCTAATAACACCCTGGGTTCTGATCCAGTCGCGGCCTTGACCAGATTGAAGGCGGTCTATGACAGTGTCAATGAACCCAAACCTAGTGGTTCCTCAATAGCCAAGCGCGATTTTTGGAAGTGGCTCAAGGATGCAATTGAATCTCCTGGTCTGAAGATTAGATCTCCCGTCTCCAACTCTGTAAGTTCTGACCCTTATGAAGAACAACAGAGCTGACACGGAAATTTTCAGACATCCTATGACGAAGCACTCGGTCCTGATCTCGTCACGACCTTGACTGATTTGAAAGCTGTCTACGATAGCCTTGATGTGAAACGCACGGAGAGCGGCATCAAAGCCAAGCGCGACTTTTGGAAGTGGCTCAAGGATGCAATTGAATCCCCCGGTCTGAAGATTAGATCTCCCGTCTTCAACTCCGTAAGTTTTGCCCTTCGCCAGGAAGAATAGAGCTGACAGGCAACCTTTTCAGACATCTTTTGAAGAAGCACTCGGTCCTGAGCTCGTGGCGACCTTGACTGATTTGAAGGCTGTCTACGAAGGTCTCAATGAAAAACGCACGGAGGGTGGCTTCAAAGCCAAGCGCGGTTTCTGGAAATGGCTCAAGGAGACGATCGAATCTCCTGGCCTGGAGGCCAGATCATACAGCGGCTACTCTCTCATCGACAGCAACTCAGACGATGCCTCCGAAACCGAGCGCACTCCTGTGGGTGGCACCGGGTCTAAAGGCCCGATCTTCCCATGAGGAGAGTCTCATGAACAGCATCTCAGACGGCATCCTAAAGGGCAACAGGGGGTGGCCTTTCCACTGACGCTTCTAACTCTAGCGTCGAAGCAGGATCTTGATCTGATGGACGCAATGATGAGCTACGATCGGGGCATGAGGATAATTGGTTCTGTACATAGTGGCATGCGAGTGTGACGAATGAAACGAAGATTTGCGACCAAACCCTAATCTGCCGTCGCTCTGTTGGAGCATCTTTTGTCATTCGCTACGCGCCCATTCTAAACCTGATTGGTGAAGTGTGAAGAAGCGAGGTTCGACCGCGGAAAGCCCAAGCGACTCTGCCGTCCAGCATCGTCAATCTATGAACCGCTCCATGAAGTGGTAGGATATCCATTCGAGACAAGTGTTCTGTCCCCACGTGTGTCATGAAAGCATGAGTATTCCGTCTCTGGGAGAGGCGAAGTTTGTGGAAATCCAAGCCGGGTCGATTTCCGTAGGGCGATCATGATCAAGAGATTGACCAACTGCAGTACGAGACCAATGTTTGTGACAAAGAACGTTGGATTGTCCCCAAAGCTTGAGATCGAAGTAGCTACACCGAACGAGAAGAGAAGGTGGGAGACGTCAATACCGAGCCAGAAAGCATATCCATGTAGCCAGACCTGAAAACAGTTCTGGCAATTGATCTGCCAAAGGATCTTCAATTTTTTTGAAAAAACTTTCGTAAGCTTGGCACATCACCGCGCCCGTCCTCCGACCAAAACACCAACAACCTTTCCATTTCTTCGACGTTCAATCCGGCCGCTGAACTGCAACACTCGTACCATCCGAGCAGCTCGCATCGCCTCAACAGCAAACCTCATTTCCAATCTCCTCAACAACACCCATAAGCCCAACACAACCCCCCCCCCCAAGACCCACGTCACCAACGTCGCCAAGTCTACTAAAGCCAACTAGCCAGAAGAGAACGATCAGCGCTGTCCGTCTTCGACGGAACGATGAACGGCTTCTCGTGGGGTGATGACGGCGCCGGAGAGGAAGGGTCGGCAGACGATGACGATGACGATGCGGGCCGGGAGAATCGAATGGAACAAGTGGCTGTGGGCATGGGCTTGAGCCTGGGTAGCGTGTTCCAGAAGGCTGACGAAGAGGGAAATATGACGGGGGTGGGTGCTTCGAGAAGGAGATGAATTGTAGTGCGACTGCTTTGATATAGCAGCGCGATGGTTTGAGGACTGCTTCGTGTAATTACTGCCTGCTTCTCTCATCATCTGTCGATGCGGAAAGGGGTATAAGCTATGTTTGCTATGCACACAATGAAACGACTTTCCTATGAAGCGCCCTCACCGCCATGCATCGGCTCCATATACACAGCCGTCAAGTAGCCATACCCTGTGAATGATCAATGCCATGCATGCTTCCGAGAATGCTACGCTAATGACGCCTGCTCGAAAGTTCCATGAGTGAACCCCAATTACAACTTCCCGCCCCTAACCTCCTTTGAGAAGATCTTCACGTCCTTCACATCCGCGAATCTCGTCGAGAATTTAAGCTTCGTCTCCCCAGCTCCCATGTCGGCTAGGATATCGTCCACATCATCGGAACCCGAGTCATCCGTTGCAGGAACGAAGAGGCCTAGAGTGACATCCGCCGGAGCTTTCCCTTTGCCCTTCCTATCTTTGCGTTTGTCCATGACAGCCTTCAAATGTCGCCGAAATTGTTCAGGCTTTGCCTCCAGCGCCGTGACTTGATTCATCATGGCGATGTATCTAAGCTTCATGTTGGGGCAGTGCGAGAGGTTATCGACTGCAAAACTGATGCTTTCGGTTGGTAGCTGAACGCTGCGGTCGGTGGAGCGTAGTGTAATGATATGTAGGGCGTAGAGGCTTTTCAAATGTGGAAGGAGCTGCATGAGAATGTGCTGTGTTCATCAGCATGACTCGTTTGCTGTAGGATGGAATAGCTTACATAAGTCTTCAGACTGAGGCTGAAAGCCAACTCCCTAAGTTTCGTCCCTTTGAGTGCTAGACCTCGTAGCGTTTTTGGGTCCACGTCCCACTGCTCATTACGCTCATTTCGGAGCGATAGCCGCTGCAACGTTGGCATATGCTTTCGAAGGGCACCCTTGCGTATGGTCGAAATCGTAACTGTTGACTCAGACTCAGGCTCGGCCGCCTGCTTCTTGTTCCGTTCGAGCATGAAAAGCTCTTCCAGACCTTCAAAAGTTGCGAGAAACTTCACGAATGGAAGCGATACGTTGTCCGTATGGATGCTCTTGAAAGCAATAACCTGAGTAGCGCTTTGCAGCCGTACGAGAAGAGTCCAGAAAGCGTCCTGGGGGCCAACCTCGAGAAGCGTCAGACGCTTTAGAACACTCAGGTCTAGAGCTCTTGCTACAATGGAAGCTTTCAATGGAACCCATTCAAGTGAGAGTTCCTCAAGCTGTAAACCATGTGTTGCACGTATGTATGCTTGCATTGCCTCGTCCGAGGACATCGCTGGTGTCGAATTGTCTTCTGCTGACGGATTCGGTTCTAGGCTGGTTGTATTAGAAGAGCTTCCTATTTCCGCCAAGCCGACTTTAGCTCGCTTTCTTGGAGTTGCGGTCTCTTCAGCACCTTCTGAACCAGCAATGATCTCCTGATCTTCCCCCAGATCCGTGGTATCGTCGTCAGGATGTTCCATATCGACATCCATAGACCCTTCCATAGCTTCTGTATCTACGCTGGCCGCGAAGAAGGGCTGCGGTGCCGACGGTGGGGTTTTCGTACCCTCGGATTCATCTTCGGAGCTGAAAGGATAGCCTTTTTTGGCGGGAGTCGGCTTTTTCGGCGGCTTGTGCTTTGTCTTTTGGTTTTGCCCGATATTTGATACATACTTGTGTGTGCTCGGAGGCGCGTCTTTGTTGGAGGCAGTGATGCCCCATGCCCCACTGCTGGGTGCCTGAAGGGGTGAGGAGTACCCCGGAGGAGAATGGAAACCCGTGGTGCTGTGGTTGCTGTGCTCATATGGAAAAGAAATAAGCTGGTTGGCAGACGCTGCGTAAGATCCCGCGACGTACGGTGACGTGTATGGTTGAGAGCTAACAGGCTTGGAACTGCTACCCCCAGGAAGATAAGAGAGCAGAGTAGATTGATCCAAAGAAGAGAAAGGGCCGCTGGGGGAAAAAGGCTTCGGCGTCCCGTTGGACAAGGAGTCTCCAGGCCCAGAAGCGAAGTATGGGCTCGTTGGACTTGAAAGGGTTTCAAAATCGTGATCGATGACATTGGGACCCTTGCTGGTCGACGACGGCTTGAAACCCGACGCGAGAGGATTCAGAGGCTTAGACGCTGCTTTCTTTGCAGTTGGCGTAGGCGGCTTGTTTTGTTCGGTGAGAAGTTTCTTCAGTTTCTGTGTCTCTTGATTGGAGATGTATCTTTCGGCAACATCTTTTATCATCTTCAGATGCTGCAAGCGAATCTCGAGGGAAGTGGCGTCGGAGCCTGCTGCTAGTGGAGAGTCCATCAACGATTTCATTAGCTGATTGACCATTCTGATGCTCTCCTGGCTGTCTTCTTCCTCTCGGAACTGTCCTCCGGATAGCGACAAAGTCTTCTCTAGCTTCTTCCCTTCGGCAGATACACTCTGGAGATCGAACACTTTGGCTAGTATGCTTTCTTGTGCAAGCTTTTCCCTCCGGATGTCGGCCTCATTTGTGGTGGTGGCAGCTTGCGAAGAACCCGTAGGAGGCTGCGGTGGTTGACTCAACTCGTCTTCGTCATCCATTTCCGTGTCGGATGGATCATCCAATTCAGGATTATTTATCGGCATAGGTTTCCGGGATTTCCGTGCTAGCTCCGTGGAAAGGGACAAGGTCAGGCACTTGAGGGAAGCGGACGAGGCTTTGATGCACTCTGCTATCTCAGATAAGCAGTCGTGGTTGGACATGCCGACGATTGTCAAGGTATGGAGAGACTTGAAGCCAGAGAATGCCCTGCCATTTGCCCAATAATTGAGTCCTCCACCACTTCCAGCCTTTTTCCGTTTGATGTTGTTGATTTTGGCTGCCGTATGGTTTGGATAAGGATTCGGAGCGCTTGCTGGGCCTGGCGGAGGCGGGACGAACTGTGTTGGAATGGCCAGAGGTGGCTGGTTCTGCATCTGTGCTTGCATAGCTTGTTGCATCGCAAGTGAAGGGTTCGGTGGAGACGGACTAGGGCGAATGATCAGCTTCGGCGACGGCGATATATCAAGCCTGATTCGAAGGCAGCGTAGGCTTTGAATCTTGTGAAGAGCTTGGTATACTGCTCCGCTTATCTCAATAGGCGCATCCCATCTGGATTTCGGTCAGTAGATGTCGCATGTCTGTCAGTATCGAGCATTCTTACTGAAATGTTTCGAGGATGCGGAGCCTCCGAGCCACCAGGAGCAATGCGGTATTGAGAAACTTGCTAGAGTCGGACTTTGAGTCCCATAGCAGCCGTGTCATCAGAAATGGGTCTTGGCCGACGTGACCAAGGCTCCTAGGCGCGTATTCGATGCTGTCTTCATTCACCCCAAGCCGAAAGCTCTTGATATGTTGCCCATAATCGTGTTCGCTTGCGCAAACAGTTTGAAGAGCATCCGCCGCGTGCGAGCTGGGCACTCCATTCTCCTCATCCCCAGAGTTGGTGATCTTCAGGTCCAGGTCTCGATATATCTCAGCGCTGGCGAGGGAAAGGAAATGCGGAGACACTCGTTGAAATGAGAAAAGGTCTTTGCGGCTGACCTAGAATTACTGTTAACATATGGGCGTCAAGAATGCCCAGAGGGCTTACCTGTGCAATAATCTGCTTCTGTGTTTCCAAAGGTAGATCTAGGAGGTACAATCTGCCCTCCGGTCTCTGCATGACTACGGATTTGCCCTTGAAGCGCCTGCTTGGCCCTGACATGTCTGACTTGGAAGCGCTCATAGCGGGTGGCGAAGATGGAGATGGACAATCGGTTGCGGGTTGGCTTAGAAGTGTAAGATGTGAGTTCCTGTGAAAGAAGGCAAGCTAGGCGTATGTACGTCTTTTGGGTCGAAATCATTCCATGTGAAGGATCGTTGTAGATGTAGATGCAGAAGGTGGTACGAATACACCGATGCCGCTTCAGCCGTGGCACCTTCCTGCCTTATGCACAACGCTTGGGAATAGTATCCAGCCCGTATTTCATCGAAGCATGCTGGGGTGAGTTTCCTGACAGCCTCCAATAGCTATGGACGGGTGCCTTTGTCTTGTGGAAGGTCACTGAATTGTTTCAATTAGACCGTTGGTGACATTGTTTGGTGATTGGTGAAACAGAAAAGCTGTTGAAATGGGGCTCAGTGGCAGTGCTCGGCAACAATTTAGCGCCATCGCCGGGATCCGGGAGATCTCCGCCTGCCGCATGGCACCCCGGTCAAGCCGGTCTTACTTTACTTAAATCCTTGCAAGCCCATGTGCCTAGATCTTCACCTTCCTCTCTCATACTTTTGCTTCCTTTTGTTTTGATATTTTCATGTTTGAACATTGCTAGCAGATTGCAGTGAAAGTTTGTTATCAGAGTAGCAACCAAAATCTCGTTGTACCTTGTCTAACGATGATTGAAATCCGAACACTAGCGACGTGAATATCTAGTGACCAAGACGGCTTCCTATGTCTCATGAGTCATGACTAGAGACATATTGCATACGCTCTGCACCATCATGTCACAGCAATACCGAGATTAAATTTCGGGTACCGTCATGATCTCAGCACTCGCACCACTAATCCACCCGCAGCATATTTGCTGTGACATTTGATAGAGGGTGAAAGCCGAGCAATATCAACATAGCTGGATCGACTGTTGCAGCCTGTAGTGCCTCCACTGTACCTGGTAGCGCAAACCTCTGCACATCGGATTGGTTAAAAGATTCTAGTCCAAACGGCGAGTCCGTTCTCACCACCTAACCAAAATTCCGCAGATTAGCTTTTCTCCCAAGAGATTGACACTCATCAAGGCAGGTACATGTATAACCTTCTCAGATATTCAATTACGTAGATGGGTCTGCCACCGAACTCCTTACCTTAGCATGCACAAGTCCGTCCGCTCCAGCTGGATATGCCAAACCAACCTTACTCTTCGCAGACAAGCACTGAGCAACCACCTCTTCCCCAGCTGACGCTACATCCGCCAGTCTGAAGTCATCGACGGCCCATAGATCGTATGAGTCCACGTCCACATGAACGGCACAAGTGGTTGGACCACGCCCAGAGATCCAGTAGACCTTCGGTACCTTCTGTGTGTCAAGGGTTGTGGGAAGCCTGCGGCCCCAAGCCTTCATATTGTTCTCGCCTGGCATGCGAGACAGCCAGCTGATCGCCTCTAGCAGATCTGTACAGTCGCTAACGGTAGGTAGAAGGCCAGGGGCAGTGGTACATATTGCTGCTTGAGCGAGTGTGTAGATGGTGAACGGTGCGAACAGCAGTAAAAGCGAAGATTGGAACATGCTGCGGTACAATAACAGTGAAGACTGTGGAAGCTGGACAGTAGAAGCTGCACATGAGAGAATTACGCGGAAGTAGATCTGCAGGTCTCGGTCTTATAGAGCATGTTGCGGACGGATCATAGCATGCGAAAGAAGCGCTTAAGCGCAGCCTTACCCAACATCCGACATGCCTTGCACATTAAGAGGAAAGGATTTGGAGAATAACCACCACAGTTTCTGCAAGCGTGGATTGGAAGAAGTTGCGAGCAGACTGCTGGCTACTCACATCCACCATTGACACTCCCGGATCTAATGGCAAAATCCAAGTACTACTGAGCATTGGTTGACAGTCCTGGAGGTCCTGGACCACAACAAACAGAAAGCGAATAACCAAACCGAGGAACTGATCCAACGGCATTGAGCGCTCCTCGAATAGATTACTCCAGTGATACTTGCCAAGAAGACAGCGATTGGTCAAGAGTTCCACCCTGATGGACTCCGCGAGCTGATGGCTCTTTTTCGGAATAGCTCCATCCATCTGCGGACGCGTCAAGATTCTTTTGGTTTATCAGCGATCACTATCCTCAGTCACGATGACTTTATGATTGCAAGAAATCCATATTCAGCGCTTCTAGGTGTCCACGCAAGATCGAACGCTTTTCCTGGCGCGGGAAAGGTTTCGGCACATCGTCCCCGCCGTCCCGCACTCCGTCGCTCTGAGCCTATTGCTATATTTCATTCGTTAAAATTCTTACATTTCACTATTGCTTAGTGCTATGAGGGTCTTCACTACCATGTTACTTGCCAAGCATCCCGCCTCTCTCATCTCCTTATTTGATATTGAAATCGTCGACCAATCCGCCATACCTTGGCCCGTCGCAGATCGCGTCCATCATCTTCCCGCATTGACATAGGCAGAAAGGTCACGTTCTCATTTCGCCGTCAATTCAGCAGCACACTACATCATGTGGAGTCAGCGTCTCACTTCTTGAATGGATTTTTGAGTCTGATGACATGTTTGAGGAGCAAGACATGTGTCTCTACTCCTTAGACATGTCTAATGAACCGGAAATTGGTACAGTAGGGGAAGAAATCAGTCAGAAAGGGTACTCACAGTTAAAGATCCATAGTTACACCAACCTCTCTCGGTCCCTTTAACATCGATTTTCGAGATATCAACACCCACTTCCTTGGCCAGAAGGTCCAAGCGTGAGTAGTCAAGCATGTCATCCCTCCCATGATGTCCGCTTCGAAAGCGATCCTCCGCAGCTTCGGCGTGCACGACTCTTACGCCTGGAGTAACCTTTTTAATGCAGTCGTAAGCACTTTGACCCTGCTGCGTGCGTGAGAAATAAAGTGTCTCAGTCGATGCCGGCATTAGGGTTGCCAGATTGGGAGTACGATCCTGATCGTCAGCCCCAGCCCAGGTGGTGCCGTCTCCCTCGATGCCAAACCATAGGTACATGCCCATTCTCAGGTTCCCCAGTACCTTGAAGCTAGAAAGAGTGCTCATGGGCGAGAGATCTTCGTCGACAAAGGGAACCCTTTCCCCCTCATAGTTGAGCCAGAGGTTCTCCAAAGTGTTTCAACCCAAACAAAGCTCTGCCTAGCTATAGCTAGAGGCTCCGGGATAGACCCAGTTCCAGCTCAATTCGTAGACTAACGTTTTGAGCTCTTTGGATGCTCGAAGTACATTTGCCAAATCTGTTGCGTTGAGTCTGCTGTCTCTGAGTTCAAGGCGAACAAGCGGAATAGCGGCAGTTTCGAGCGTGGCTAGACACTCGTGGGCTCTATCATTGCAGCTACCAGTCCTTTGACCGAAGAACTCGCGGAGCGAGGGCAGTTGGAGGGAGTTAGATAGCACATCAAGTGCTTCCCCTCTCTCTTCCTTGCAATTAGTGACCACCACTCTCAGCGAAGGAAAGGCTGGTTGGGTCCGGAAGAGAATTTCCGCCCTTGATGGCCCTCCGGTCCAATTTTTTAAAGCCATCACCAGGTATTCTTAGATCCAGGCTTTTTACAATCGGCAGCGAGGAGAGTAACAACGCGACGTATGCATCTTCATCGCCTTTCTTCAAAAGTCGCGCCCAACTTTTCTGCTGTATTCGGGAAAGACTTGATCTGAGTCGAGACCTCTGGCGGCAAAGAGCTGAAATAAGCTGGCATGGTGATCGATTATGGCAGGTCTACGTATAGAGAGTAAGGGTAGCCTGTAAGACGTGTGGAGCACCCGATTTTGGGCGACAGTTGCGCAAAAGTGGAGTTGAAGAGTCGAGGTTAACTGGATGGAGAGCACTATACTGCCCGAGGCAAGTTGGCGCTACAAGCTCGATAGTAGCGGTGCAAGAGTAAGTTAGGGACAAGTTCGGGGCTTAGTAGAGTGCTTGAATTGTGTACCTAGCTATGTAAGTGCTATTTTGCTGAGGACATGCCACGTTCCGTGTCAATGGACTAGCCCTAGAAGCACTAGTACGGTTTCCATGCCGACCGGGCGAGAGTAGAAATAAGAGGAACCAATGAGGTACAAGAAGCGGGACGGGTTTTGCTAACCGTTACGACTAGACCAAAAGGTGATCACTAGTAGTCCGTCACTCAACAGTAACTTATACTAGTTGTAGGCTTGAAAGCGTACGACCGCTTTCCCACACACATCTGTACAGTCCAGAGGTAGAAGGATAACTGGACTATGTAAGGCTGGTGCAAGGCCAGATATTCATATCTACTGTGGCCAAGGCCCACTAGTCATGTTGGCGAGGCAACTCCCATCAACTAGAGCGGGAGATCGGCGTCGACGCGAGAGCGATTTCTTCTCTGTTAGCCCCTTGCTTTTATGTCATGTATTTACTTGAATCTCGTCAATAACTCAAATTCGGAGTCGTGCGCGTTGACAGCATGTATACTTTCCATGTCATCTCTAACAACTTCCTATTGTAATTGACCGCTCGGCGCTCCGGCCATTCTGATGGCGTCTACATCTGGTCCTGGGCAGTCTTCAGGCCCAGATCCAGGCTCAGTGCTCTGCGATAATTGCAAGAATTCTGTTCTCGAACCATCTCAAAACACAGAGAATGTAGCATACGGTGATAGACTGCGCCAATTTATGAAGGAATGGCACTTGAGTCCACGGTTATGGCCTGTCGGATACATAGTAGGAAGTCCATACTCTCCATTTCGGGTTGAGCAGGAGCTCCCAAAGCGCGATTGGCGCAACGCTTTCGAAGACTTACTCGCTCTGGAGTCTGGTGTCGAAATGATTAGCCATGAAAGTAGGAAGCAAGAAAAGGCTGTTGCTGCAAAACTCAGTTGGGAAAGGGCAAATCACTGCATCGAAAAGATCAACAAGTTGAATACACGAGATGCCCACGTCTTTAGTCTCGCGCAGACAACTCTCAGCAACGCCAAGTCTCCGGAACATCAGACAGACTCTTCCATCATTTCCTGGCTGGACCAGACGGTCAACGAGATGCGAGAAATGATGCAGCTTCGCGTCGCAGTCGCCATGACCTTCAAGGCCATGGAAGAAACCCGCAGAGATTGGTCGGCTAGTAGACACAAAGATCGGGGCCAATGGATGGCGTCTCTTATCACCGCCGGTGCGTTGAGGGGCTGGGGATCTACACTAGAAGACAGCGAACACGGAGTTTTGATTCGTCTAAGCAAGGATTTAGAAGCACCAGAAGCTTCAGAAGACTCCGATGGCTTTAGCTGTACCGAACGTGAGCTAAGCGAGCATTTCGAAGAAGGAAAACCCTTGGAGGTAGGAAGCCCTGGGCCACCTTTGTACAAGGTATCAGATCAGCCTCCAGCCGAACCGGTGGATGACCGTCAAAGCGTTATTGGGAGTAGCTCTCCGCAGCTTCCGCCAGACCGGCCTACACTCTGGACCAAGGTCCCTGAGCGTCCTTACTTTTTGGGTCAAACAACGGCTGCAGAACGCATCACACTCCCCAACGGCAAGATGGCGACTAGGGTGGTCATGAAAAATTATCTCACAAACGGTGATGTCGAGGAGAAGGTGATGGTTCAGGAGCCTGGAAAAGTGTTGCAAGAAGTGGAGAAGGCCCGAGGTCTGATCCACGATCGCATGCTTGGATTTGACAAACCGATAGAACCTTTCTAAGGCTGAGTTTTTCGAGGAGCCTGATTTTGCGAATCCATTGTATGGGATTGCACTTTGTAGGCCGATGGCAAAGAAACTAATAGCGTAGCACGTTTTCGGTATTTGGGAGATAGAATGGTCAAAATCAGGTTGACAGCACTTCTGTGAAGATTAAGATCGCTACCAAACACAGTACCCTCCCACTGTTAGGACCTGGTACTCAAACAATTCATGTATGGGAAGGTTATGCTGCCAAGCCCACTCAGCCCTACAATTACTCGTAGTGCCTTCAAAATGGTACATCCCATGCCATATTCACGCAACAATCCTTTCTTGGACTTCAGCTACATGGGCGCGCGCCCCTTTCAGACCTTCCGCAACGTCTGCCTTGCGTCCGCTCTCGCGGTCTTGAATCGCACGGTGAGCAACGTGAGCAGCGTATGTGAGTAGAGAGTCTTGGCGCGAATCTCCTTGTCTATATACACGTAGTCAATTCTAGTAGAACCGAGCCTCGTGCTCGAATCAGTCTATTCCCATGTTACGATTGCGGAGACCATTCCTCCAGAGCTTCGGAATAACAACAAGTCATTATTGAGCTCGAAAATCTTCAGCGGGTATCACATCATCTGGAGAGACTACAGCCAGATGGAAACAATACCAACTCATGTCAACGCCGTCCGGGCTATCGCGCTTGCTTGCAAAGTCCCTCTCCAGAACTTCCTGGATAGCCTGGAGAAAATTGAATCATCACTCGGTCCCTTCGCTGCAAAGTCACTGCGATCTACCGGACGAAAAACCCAATACTCACTGTTTGTGGCGAAAGAATTTGAAAAGTTGAGGGCATTCGTGGGAGCAAAGATAATGAGCATCAATCTGCTTCTGTCTATGCGTTATATGTGAGCAAATCCAGTGACTATGAACATACGCCTTAGGAGCTGCTGACAAGAACAAGCAAGGCAGTGTCCAAGCTTGAGGCAACGAACGAGGGGCGCCACGGAGTGCTACTTGAGAAGTCCAACACTATTCAACTCTAGCTCCAGGTTCACAACGACAGTATAGATGGAACACAAGATGATATGACCAGCGTAAAGCGTGCATCTGAAAGTCTGACTGCTGAGAATATCGCACGAGCGGATGAGATCAAGGCTGGTATAAGAACTGTCAGCGAAGATCTGAAAGGTTTTAGGGCTGACATGCGGAGCATTGCATCGACTGTGATGAGTGCAAAGAATATTGGAACGTAGATTTTGAGCTGGTATGCGTATCTAAGGTAACTATGTCTATGATGATTGCTCAGCTCAGAGGACAACATGGCCTTTGTCCCCGGCCCAGCTGCGGAAGTAGAGAATTGGATCAACCTGGGGGACGACGTACTCTTGGACGTCATCTGGGTCGACACATGGGATAGATCTCTTTCACCACTGTAACTAAACCATATGCAGGTTGGAAGTTCTATGACGAAACCTCTTCCGAAGGTAGCCACGACTATGGCAACAAAGGGCCTTCAGGGCCTGAAGATGTTTTGCAGACGGAGCTCACTGCGACCATGAGCCGGATTGATGCTCTGGACTAAACAGATCCAGCCGGTCGCGAGCAGTTGACTCCGGAACATGCTTCGATGAAAGAACGTCTTTCGAGTGTCAACCTCGACGATCCTGATAGCCTAGAGAAGATAGAAGCTTGTCATAGTATTCTCAAAATCATTATGCAGAGAGCCGCAGCGTCTCGAGTTTCTGCATAGGGACCAATAATTGAGGTCAGTCTCCTAGCTATGTCTCTGAGAAAAAGAGAGCGCTCATAAGAAAAGGACAGACCGGAGAAGTCCATGCCGCGACATTTCCTTAGTCTAGGATTGACAGCCAGACAAAGCACCACAAGGGAGATTATATGGATACGACAGCTTTCGAGAGAGGAGGAGTGTCACAAAGCTAGTCGCTATGATCCCCATGAATCGTAACATACATCAAAGTTCCGTCGCTCAATCCCTGTTCTCGATCTTCCATCCAAATTCCCTCTGTGTTATCTCTTGTGTGTGTTCATTTGCGTTTTTCCTTACTCCGACGTCCGCCCCAAGAGCCCTGAAGGATGCTCAAAACATCAGATAAAGGTCGGCCTGCGGTAAGATTGTATCTACTCTTCAAATAACGAGATCAAGCCAACTAGTGCAGAATTCTTAAGGCGGCTGCAATGTGGACTTCGCGAAGGCGTCATCGAAATTTGAACCATAATTCGACTTTGAACAGCCACTAAGCATATCTCGGAACCAAAGTAAGGCTACGATCAACTCTTCCTGCCTGCTGAGTAGAGGGTTCTGCTGTACATCATGTATAGGCGGACCTAGGAGTACTGAAGTTTACGAGCGGAAAATTGAACAATCAATAATGTTTTAATTTTACTTGCAAGGTGGTTCAGATGACATTGGTAAATAGTTTGTGACATTCCCGGATAGTCTTGGTAATCAAATTGCGGGCGCCGAAAAGAGCCACTAGTTCCATGAAATTCAGCGTTCGGTTATGAGAAACATAAGCTAGAAAACAAAACGACTATGCATTCTTTCATTCGAACAAAGTTGGAGACATCGCTGGGCTTTGTTTCGGCTTCCAGTTGTACCCGTTCAAGCAGCCCTCAAAGCCTTTCTTGCCATTGTGCTAACGATGCATTTGTGGTCGCTTCCGAGGTTTGACCTTTTAAGTACCATCATCTTTTCTCCAGACATCCAGGTGGTTCACTCTTCCAAAGCCTCAACTGACAAAGTCTCAGGCTCCAGACTCCATAATTAAATCTCACTATGACAGAGTTCTTCCTCGCTCAACTTCCTAGAGTCGCAAAGGAAGAACTATCCGAAGAAAAAGCCTGCATTATATGCCACGAAGAATACGGTACGGCACCCTCAGATAGCGAGCCTGCCGAGGAAGCAGTGCGTCTACCATGCCCAGGTGGACACATATTCGGATCCAACTGTATCTCGTCTTGGTTTTCATCTGACATGAACAGACACTCCTGCCCATACTGCCGAACCGAGTTTCTCGCCGCGACCGTTCTAGGCGACCACGGAGACCGATTCGAGCGCTGGCTCGACCAGTGGCATGTTTTCAGCTCGTACTTAGGAAGCGTAGGGGCTGCTCCGGATCTCATGCAACAATGGCAACAATGGTTCGTGCAATGGGGCAGGGCAGCAATCGACGTAAACGAGGAGGCCGTAACCCACGCGAGGACGGCCCGCGAAGACCTTTTCAGACGAACAGGATGGTCGGAGGTGCCAGCAGATACAAGGACAGTGTGCTGGTCTGAAACAGAATCGGATACTGAACTCGAGCCACTGGCATCAGCGATCCGAACTCTGTCCTTCCGGGAGTTATACCTCTACGTGATACGTCATTCAACCCTCCGCTTCACTCCGGACTTGCTGAACGGGCCTCCACGTCGGCTGTCTGGTGAGCGTGAAGCCTCTATATTTCGACGTCTGTGCGGGATGGGAGCTTTTAGGGGTGTTCTCGATGAGGTGCAGAGTAACAACGAAAGATGGCACATACTTCGCTCGCAGGGTTATGTTTTCGATGAAACGCGGTGGATGTGGTCTGCATACCCGTACTAGGCTGTTCCTCGAGGTCGCAGAAGGGGGGCGGATGGGTCAAGCAGGATGGATGGTACGTACTAGGGGGAAGATATATATTTGGCGAGAAATAAATCCTTCGATTCTTCTTGCATTGGATACTTTCGTCTTCATGTGTTCCCACGTTCTTCTGTATGTATATGCTAATTCTGTGAAAAACATGCGATCCAACAACGAAGCTCGAAACACAGGTTGGGATAGAAGCAATAACATAATGCGTAGGTCATTTTCGAGATTGGAGAAGGGAGCGTCATGCCATGCCGACAACATTTGATTAGACCAATCCTCGAGAGCCTATTAGCCCCACCACTGGCAGTGGATTACTGGAACATGCGGATGTTCTGCAACAGATCGACTACGCGTTGTCGGGCAACTGTCGAGAAACCACAGTGCTGGACGTGCGGACAAATATCACATATCTTTGATCTTGAAGTAACGACAGTCACCTGCGCTAAGCATGGCGTAGCCTAACAACAAGACCCAAATGTTGCCGTCTCCCATCGATCCGATCCCAGATCGCGCCTTTGGCCTCAAAGCTACCATTGACTTCGAGTTACCCGATCAATTTTGGTCACTGACTGCTCCGTAGATACTGTACAGCTGAAAAACTTGGGGTAAGCAATGAGCCGACGAAGCCTTTGGGAGGGAAACCTCAAATAGAAGGGTTCCTCACGAGGGATTCGGTACTTGATAAGATGCGCAGTACCATCAATTAGCTGATTCAATTGTTGGCAGAGAACAGCGATCCGACTGGGCTGAGTCGCTGGCAGTGGTAACCTTGGCGCTGTAGCAAGTGAAAGAACTGATTCTTTGAGTTCCCTGGGCCTAAGAAATGTTAGTCGGCTTCCAAATGCTAAGCTAGACCCGGCCTAGCGCTGACCTCCATAGATGTATGCAGCAGTAATCAGGTTGCATGAGGCTATGTAAACACGTTGCCAAAAGTTCCCTCCCACACTCACCCACCCACTGTGTGATTAATATGCAACCTCACATCATTCCACATCCTTCATAATGCCAGACATCTAACTGACAGGAATTCAACCAACTCTACAAAAAAACAAGCTGCCACACCTCCACCCCAGCCCGCCACCGATCCTCCCGCCAACCACAAACCCATTGCCGCCCCATCCACGATGGCTGATGGCGCTCTGGGCTGCGACTCCTCCTACGCCCAGCTCCCGGTCCATTGTGACGCTGCTTACTACGAGAAATGGAATAGAGAGAGGCAGGAGGCTGTTGCGCGGTAGGTCCTTCCTTAATTCTGATTTTGGGTTTCCTGTGGTTCATCTCTGGACCAGGCCGGAGTTGGCGTACAATGCTTAGCGTTTGGATGAGGTCTTCCACAGCAACGAAGATCTCAACGCCAAATTTCTTACCTTGGTGGCGCAGAGAGAGGCGAATAGTGCGTCGGGACAGTTGAGGAGGTTGTTCAAGAAGGGTAGTAAGACGTACGGACAGGGGCTAACGGCAGGCGAAGAGCAGAAGGCATGGGAGGATAGTATGAAGAAAGGAGTCGGTAAGAGAGGTGGCGGTGGGAAGGGGGATGAAGTTGTGAGACGATTGCGCGATGTGGAGGGCGAGGCTATACTCGATGAAATGACTGGATGGAAAAGTACTCATACGCGTCTCTATTGAAGGAAGATATCTCAGGTAGTGCTAAGGCTGTACAGTCTTGGCATTGGGTCTTGTCACGCAACGCCTCGAAGGCATCGATCCGCATTACCAACTTCACAAATACAAGTCAAATTCCGCAGCCTGAGTACTACTTTACTGAGTAAGCTAGATTAAATGATATATAGATTGTGCCACTACTAACGAGGTACGGTCCCATGATTAAGAGCGCTTAGATTGGGAGTCGGACACAACACACCTGATGTTGATATTAAGGTACTACCCTGGACACGCTGTGTGAAGCCTCTATTTACCATAAGCAGGGTGGACCTCATACTTCGCTGGCCGCCTCGTGATAGTACCTCGGTCATTGACAGGTCAAGATCTCTAACGACTATTCGCCACAGTGGGACTGGGGGTTGGTGGGTCACATGACACCACGGCCCTGTTGGTACCCTTGTTGGTACCCCTGTTGGTACCCCTGTTGGTACCCCTGTTGGTACCCCTGTTGGTACCCCGGCAAGGGGTTGGGGACAGGTGTCCAGTACGAGTTATATAGCCACCTGTTTTGCACCTGTCAACGGCTCTTCATTCGATTTCGTCTCTTTCAGAGCCATTGCATACTTTTTGTCCCACCCACCCACACCTGTACATAGCTAGCTACTACTTCACTCCAGGTCTATGCCATAGGCATGGGAGTTTTCTCGGCGCTGGGGTACGAATACGTCTGTTCAGGCCTCTATTCAGGTGTTATCCCGGCGTCGGGACGGCCCAACCACTTGATACCTCATACCTATGTGCCCTGTGTATGTGTGATGCGTGAGAATGAGAACACTAAGCCGCCGGGATTTCCAAAGCAAGACCGCATTAGCGGCACAGCAAATCCTTCGCCCGCCATGCCCACTCTACAGACCGTGGCGGCATACATTTCCATCCTTTTTTCAAGACGAAGCATTGCGAACGTGCAGAGAGTCATAGGTCTTTGGGGAGACGCGACGCTGCTCCGGTCCTTCCTCTCCTTTAGCCATTTCAGCCAGACGTTCGCTGCTCAAAGCAAAGTTCTCCCTATGCATGTTGATGGCACGGGTTGCCCGAATCCTGCCTAGGCACGTTAACAGCCCAATCGGTCTGCTCAACCCAAGCCCAAACCACGTCACATGAAACATGGAGGCTGTGCGTGCATTGAGATTTCATTTCCCGGCGTCCTGCCATTTTGCAATCCCCAGAATATAAGAGTGTACACGAGGTGGTCAGATAACATGTTCCACTGGATTGCGCATTGAAAAACTTGGCTGCTGGTGGGGTCAAAAGCCCATCTACGACCAGCATGCGATGGGATGCAATATAGGGGCTGTGCATGCAGGGTTGCATCTCTCATCCACAAGGCTGCTCGAAATTTGGCAGCCCGTCCTTGAAATATCATATTTCGTACTCTTGCACACATTTTAGTTGCGGTCATAAGTGATTTCTGAAAACTTTACGGCTGAAGACGAGCACTCGAAAGATGAAGAACCTGTTGTCCTTCCTGCTTGTCTCGACTGTCACAAACGCAATATTGCATAATAATCAGACCAACAACCCGACTAAAGCATTCGAGATCGCGGATTTTGCTGAAGATGATGGCTACTCCATTACTCGTCGTCAAGACCTATTTATCGATTGCTCAAGCTGTTGGTATCACCTATCGCAGACGGTGAGCATAGCCTAATGACCTACAGACTCCTCATGGCTTATGGCCTCACCAAATACCATAGTGGCAAGTACTACAGAAGTATTTGCTACTCTGGCCTCTGTTAACCCAGCGACCTCTTCTTCAACTATACCATTTGAACAATATTGGTGTGAAAACTACGATGAAACGACAGAGGTTGGCGAGTCCATCGGACCTTGGCTCTATGGTATTAATGCTAGCGAAAAACAACATTGTCTATCGCTCGAGAGGTCGAATTACAGTAGATGGGCGGCCGCCGACCCCACTTCCACCACTGCTGTTGGGTGGAACGGAACAACCCTCACAGAGCCCCCAGTATGGACGCCCACGCTAACGCAACCATGCTGTGGCACTCTTTGCAATATTGTCGCTTCGGCCGTTCAATTATACTTTTGGCCTACTCCAGCGCCATATCCCAACATCACTACTGTAGTTGGACCGGACGGTTTCATTTAGTGAGCAGGGTCAAAACTGACGTGAGTATCCCAAGCTGACGGATCAAATCCCAGTACTTCTCCCTCGGTCTATCTAGTCTATAAAAGCCTTCATGCGACGGGCCAATGCGGTAAACTAGGGTCTTCCTATTCCAGCATCACCTTGTCCTACCATCAAACCGACCTCTCGACCAATTTGGATTTTCCCAAATCGGCCAATCCCACCGCCGTTAACTACGCAGATCTTTTCACCAATTGCACGAATCCTGCGACTATTCAAGGCCATGATCAAAGCTCCGTGGCGGAAACTTCTTACGATGCCACTCATTGCTCCCCTTTACTTCAACTACCTACCGGACTACAATCAGTAAATCCAGCCTGGTCAACTTGCGTTGATACTATGGAGGCAGATGACACAGGCTACGTAATCGACCCTCCACGGGCATTAATACCAGCCGCTGTTTTGGGCCCTGCTCAGACCAAAGAAGCAAGCCCTACGTCGGCCGCTGCCCCCGTTTCTCTGGCATCGCACACACTGCCGCTGAAGACAGCTCCTCCAAGCGGACCTAACGCAATTAGCGGACCAAAAAATGATCCACCAACAGGAACCAATGCAGCAGGAAACGGTTCCCCAGAAGGAAAAGATCCGTTAGTTGGCGATGTTCCAGGGAACGACCCGCAGGCAGGGCAAAGTCTACCATACCCGAATAGTGGAAATGTAGATCCTTCCAAAGACTCTGCGCTCGCTAATCAACAACCTGGCCAATTTCCGGCTGGGGGAAAATCCATCAACAATGATCCAGCTGAAGCAGGAGCGTCTTTCACCACTACGGTGGGCGGACACGTAGTTCAGGCCGCGCCCTCCGCCAACGGGATTCTCGTAGATGAGCAATCCATTGCTCGTGGGGGAGGTTCAATAACCGTCTCCGGTACCCCCATTGCTCTACATTCCAATGGAGACTTGATGCTGGGCACTTTGACAGCTCAAACTATTCTCCCAAGCCCAGCGCCCTTTATCACTGCAATCGGCGGACATTTAATTCAAGCGGCCCCTTTGCCCGGCGTCATTCTCGTTGATGGACAGTCTGTTACCCGTGGGGGAGATCCGATAACAGTCTCTGGCACCCCTATCGCTTTACATTTGAACGGGAACCTTGTGCTCGGCACTTCAACAGTCCCAGGTTTTCTCTCAAGCCTAGTACCTACATCCGCTACAGTCTTCACAGTAGGCAGCCAAACCCTAACTCTATCCTCAAACAGCCTCATAGCTGCCGGTACAACGCTGAGACCTAATGATCCCGACATTTCTATTGACGGCACGATCGTCTCTCTTGGCGATTCTGAGCTGCAAATAGGAACGAACACGATTCCACTAAGCCATGATACCTCAATACTACCGATAACAGTAATTACGGCAGCGGGTCAACCATTTACTATCCTCCCAAACCACGTAGCTATCGCCGGAACGACATTTACCGCGAACGCACCCGCTATCACTTTGGCAGGAACGCCTATATCATTTGGGGCCGATCATCTAGTAGTGGGCACATCGACGATTCCCCTGCCATCCTTACCGCCAACCTCGATAATCACCATCGCAGGTCAAACGTACGCCATATCTCAAGCTGCTAACGGAGTTTCCATCGCAGGCACAACAATCCAACTCGGGCAACCCGCAATCACAATCTCGGGAACACCGGTCGCTCTAGACAGCTCGGGATTGGTGATTGGTGGCACGTCAACGATACCCTATCAAAGCATCGTGGGCGTATCCCCACTGTCATACGGTATCGGCGGTTTCATCTCTGCTGGGTTGAATGGTGGCCTTGTGCCAATACCTACTACAGCGGGATCGACAGCCTCTAATCAGACACAGAAGAATACTACGGGACCTGTTGGCGGCTCGGTTGCTTTTCTGGGACGCGGAGACAGGGTCCAAGTCCCTTTATATTGTCCAGCAGCGATGACAGCAATTATCCTACTCATGTGGTTCATAGTGCCGGGTCCTTTTTTCTCGAGACAGTCGTGGTAGGTAAGACAATTCCAAGTCATAATTCTACATGGTCGAAAATGTCTTTATGAACTATGCTCTTGACGAATTCTCCATGTTAGGCTTGAGACTTTCAGAGAGCCTACCTGCTGGCCCAATTTTCGAGATTGTAGAGACTGGCGTGTGATGAGGAGCCGGAGCATTGCTGATGATGCGGTAGAAGTAGCAGAGTATCCTGAAGTTGAAGGCGTCACCTTTGGCAAATTAGCAGATGAGCAGCTGGATTAAGGAAGGTAGGATGAAGAACGGAAAGGCTGTTCCTAAGGAGATTAGTATCCATGATGCTTTAGTTGCGAAGTAAGAAGTGTATCATAAGATAACAGGAGCTGCGTTTGCCGTCATTGTGTTGGCAGCATCTGGTCTAAATCCAAGCCAGCATCGATTCATATCTTTGATGTCGGATGAGATGCACCCAATAATACTGCTCTTGAAACAAAACAGCGGCAAATTACTACCCTTGTGATAACTCACGCCGTATTTTCCGGCATAGGCAGCGAGTTACCTCCAGAAACCCAGACCGCAAGTTCCGTCTCGCCAACTACCATCGAGTCTTAACATAATACAAGCTTCGTGAAGATGGGAGAACTCAGTACCTGTTTTGGCAAAGACGCCATCTTTGCCACACCTGGCGCAGACAGCGACAACGATCGCAGCAGCACCCCAAAGGTCATACCAATCAGCCCGGATTGGTGGTCCTTCGATCACAACATCGATTGCACATTCATCACGGGCTACATTTGGAATGAGCCGAGAGAGCAGAAAAGGTAGATCGTAAGCATTTACTCACGGTCTGTGTATCTCAGCGGAAGACCGACGTCGATACCTTGCGTACCCCTTTCACCGAACAGCTCCGTTGAATTGGATACAGGCATTGTGTTCAACGGTAACTGACACGCAGAGCCTATTGGAGATAAACCCACGGGTACGAAACACTTGAACTGTATAGTAGACTGTTTGACGAAGACGGAAAGACGCCCATTTTCTCCTGAAGGCTCATTGTTACTTCACTAATTCAATCCGCAACTTTTAGAAAGGGCAAATCGATACTAACCCAAGTACTTCGCAATCCCGCCTTCGAGCTTCTCGTCCCCCACACACTTATCAAGGAGATAACGGATTCTCATCTTCAAATGGGACGGTTCCAGTCTGTCCATTGCACCTTGCTTCGCTGCAAACACCTCGATAATGCAAGCCCCATCGACTATTCCTGTAATCAGCTCGTAGATGCCTCACCGATCTCCGAGAATCTGCTCTTGCTTACTGCTGGCGTATCTGACAGGCATTGGAAAATCAACACCACCGCCGAAAACGGTGCGATCTCCATAAGTGCTCAAGTCCCAGCCATTCGGCATCTGATGTAAGGCCTCTCGGCAGCTATTGAATTTGGGTTGACCGAACTCCTTTGCGTCGCATTGGTAGTATCCGTATGCTAACGATTCGGATGAGTGGTTGGATGCAGAGACCGAAGGCACATAGGCAGAAGTGGAAGAGAGGATGATCTGGCTAGTTGGATTCGACGAGTTGAATGCTACCTCTGTGACGGAATGGTTTGCGGGGGTCACAATGGCTTGCAGAGGAATTAGAGCTAGCGATACGACAGTTGAAGCAGCAAACCCTGCGAGAATCAAGGGAATGTAAGACATGGTTAGTTTCCATGCCGCCACGGAGCAGGGAACGGGAAAAAGTACGCTCTAGAGGACCAGTGACGACAACAGGTTCTGTGTAGTGGCCGTTCTTTCGCATATAGGGTTAAATGGCGCTGTTGTAGTCGCTTAGATAGCTACTCAGTTGAGTCTTGAAGCGCTTGTATTCATTTCCATCTCGTTTCATTGTCTCGGCAGTATCTTCGGCGCAGCCCCTCGATAGCGTGGCACGTGTGAATTGCCGTGCGCTTAACAATTTGTACAGGTCATCCAGTCCACTCGACTGTGGATGTGAGGGCCACCTAAGCTGTAGAAGAAGTGGTAAGTCTTCAATGTCGGTTCATTCAAAGGTCAAACCCAGCCATGGTGGATTTATACATGTAGAAGGCAAGAGGGTTGCTAATTGTGGCTGATGTCGCTGCGGATATACTCAAGGTTCCCTTACATTCTCACTAGCGAGTAGTAACTCGCAAGCAGAATGATAAGTTCTATGCATGTCACTGCTCAAAAATGGCATTTGCTCACATCGACGCCCTGACACAGTCCATTGAACTCTTTCGATCCTCTTTTGTAAGGTGAGAGTAGCTGGGCAAATTACAAATTCATACCCCATCTTACATTCTCATACCCCTCACCAAAAAATGGGGTATGTATTTGCAAGTTGCCAGTCTTTGGGGTAAGAATTTGTAAGTTACCCATAGTTTGGGGTATGAAAATGTAATTCGCCCGAGAGTAGCTGCTCGCTGCATTGAAGCTGAGAAAAAAAGGACCATCAACCAGGATGAACCGTGCAAGGTAACAGTAGCTTTCGCGGTGGAGGCATCGTGTGTGCTTGTTGCAGGAAAATGATTTCGGGCTGCTTTCCGGCCAACTCTCTGCCAGGCTTTGTAGCTGTTGATTTTTGGAAACTCGCGATCTTAGGTCCAAAGGTGCCGCGAGCCAATCATTTCACATCAAAAATCGTACATATCTTACGGTCTCTAATTTTCACCATGAGTCTCATGAAGTTCTCTATCTCAATTCTGACATGAATTGACCCAACCTCGTGCAGTAAGACCCGGCGACCGGCATGATGGGTCGTGAGAACGCCTTGTATACTTCAAAATCCAGAAATAGCCAACACGGTAATCAAACGCTTTTCACTTCGCCACAGCCACTCTCTTGAGTGCAAGATTGAAATATGCAGTGTGGATATCCTCCACGACAAGACATCCATAGACTCCGCCCTTTCCATACTGGTTTGTCATCTCCCAGAGTACATCGAGAATCTTGCCAACGTCTGATCCGCGAAAAAGATCTTCTGTTGCATGGAAATCAAACGTCACGGGGCCACTGTCCTCGTGGAAGTTTTCAATGAGAGCCAGGCGACTCTGGGAGCGAGCTTTCGCGCCAATGATGCTGATTCCTTCGAGAACACCCATTTCGGAAGTAGGGTCTGAAGGGGAAGCGGGTGTGCAGCTGATGATTTCGATGCCGGTGTCCCAGCCGAGGTGCCTATTAAAGGGAGTATCGGGCCATGCGCCCAGGCCGGCGTTCGTCGCGTTGGCTGGTGATGACGGTATCGTCTCGTTCTGTAAGTGTAATGGGAGTCGCACGGCTGAGGCTTCTAGAGGTATAGAAAGGGTGAAACAAGTAGCTATCAATGCAAATAGTGGGAGACTTTGTAAAATCATTCTTGGCGCCCGATGATGACCGTAGATTGAGACCACCGCAGCGCAGGACGCAGTGAAGGGTATATGTACTTTGGCGCATACGCGGATCTGCTGCAACCGGCATCCGCTTTAGTGGTCATGGCGGCAGAACGAGCAGGGGCACGGCCAATGGCGACTGCGACTTCACCCACGCAGGCCGTGATGATGCCGTAGTATGCTCTAAAAGAGCGTATGACCGAGATTTCCACCGCAGAGTACACTTGTCGTCGAGCTCTCCATACGGATAGTCGCTGGGTAGGATGTGTCTTTTCCTAGTCATATCCTGCGGACGACTCGTTGTTTGAATTCTTTTTTGTTCTGCTCTTCAACTTCTTGGTTGACGGCTGACCATCGGCCTCTTCTTCGATAACCTTCAAGTGAAGTAGACGATGTGTTTCTGGCCGTAGGTCGGATGAGAGCAAGAGCGAATTCGGCGCCGGCGATAGTATCTGGGAATAACTTTGCTCTGAGATATCGCAACACAGGCCAGTCCCTCCACCCCGTCGTATGTCACTTCTAACATCTTTGACCTCTATGCATCATAATAGAGTTAAGTTGGGCAGACAGAACCATCTGTGCGTATTCCGACGCCTTCTCCTTCGACTTCGGCATCCGTCTTCTCGGCATCCGTCTTCTCGCCATCACAGATACCCCCAAGCTCATCTAAAGTCTGCTCATAAAGTTGTATATAAGACCTGCATCTACTTTTAGGAACCCTCCGTAAATCTCTCCCTCTTTACAATTCCCTGTGAACAGTTTAGACTCAGATCGATAAAGGCGCCCCTCCTCTCCTGCACACAGATTACTAATCCACTGTCTTCAAGTTCTCGTACTTCACAATCCCGCTTCGATTTTCGGTTCCTTGCATATTTGATAAGAAGTTTAAGAGTTTCCAGCTTCCAAAGCGACGGTTCAATTCACGATTTCCGCTTTCGTTCGTTGGAAAGCAAGCTGAAAGAAGCCTTTAATTGCTGCCTGTACGACATAGGGCGCAGCGTAAGCAGCCTGAATTGGCAAGATGGCTGCATTCGCTAAGCCTGTGGCGTTAGCTCGCTTTGGCCCACCCTCCATTCTTCATTACGAAATGAGTCCAAGATCACAACATCCGTCAGTAATCCACCGCGTTACTTTGACCGAGAAACCTATCCCGTGACTGTACTCCACTTCTTTGAGAAAGCAGGAGGCGAACGTGCATATCGCAGCTCTGCCTATAGTAGGTTAGGGGACAGGACCTTTCCAGGTACATTGTTGAAATAAAGAAAGAGGCTCAAGCCTTTGCCAGGCCACGACCCTCCGCTCTCGAGGTTTCGAGGATTAAGCGACTTGGCCGAAGTAAACTGCCTCGTCAGATTTCCGCAAAGGGGATGATAACTTCATGATAGCGCGATAGCCCGATACGTGCTACTGCTTGTCTTTCTCTTACTAAAATCTCACCAGCTCTAGCTGCATATTGATATTGGTGCCATGGGTCTGGACGCTGAGGTGGCGTCCCCAGGCTTGGCTTGATGTGGTGATGGTGTCGTTCAGCCTTGTGCCGAGGAGGGTCAGTGTAGGTTATAGCCTCATTATAAAGGTATGCATTATCCTGAGTATTTCGAAGTTCTTCTCGTGTCACACAGACTTTTTTCTCTCGGCGGGAGTGACTCAAGTATAAGTTCAGCACTATCTTCTCTTGCAGTTTTCGCATATTTGAAGGTTTTTTGTCTTCACCATGTCGAATGTATGCTTTGCCTTTGGGCCCGAGAATAGCTATCTGTGTAATTGTCCGACAAAATGGACTCGGTTCGTCAAAGCTTATTTCTCTTTGTATGCCATGAATGCGAAGGACTGACAAGGACTACCATAGTCACAATTTGCCGGCGGCCGTCGAGAATCTCTTCACGAAACAGCCCCCTATCAAGAACATCTATGAATTGGTCATCGGTCCGTCTGGTTCTTACTATATCGGCTACCTTGACAACGATAACAAGACATACTGCATGAACCACGGACTCCCTTTCCACTTGACAAAATGGCTCTCAACCAACGCTAAAGGCTTCGTAGAACACGACATCCGTACGACAATGATTACGCTGGGACCGAAGGGAAGCTATGTCGTCAAAGACAAAAACAAGATGCAGTGGTGCGGAGTTCCGGATGCCCTTGCGACCCGCTTGAACAGCTTCGGAACGCAACGCACCCGACTGGTCACTCTGGGGATAGACGATTCGTTCGTCATCATCAATACTGATGGGTCCGGCTTGCGGAGTTTGAGGGGCAGGTTCTCAGATCTTGAGAAATTGCTTGCGGGCATGCCCAGTCTTGGGAACGTTCATGTAGGTGACGTATTCCTGGTCGATCTTCTACGGACCGAGGCGGATGCCTCACATCGGACATTTCGATCATTTTACTAACGAAGAGGAACAGTACCTCTCCTTATCCACATACAACTCCATCTCCGCGAGCGGCGATGTCGACGATCCCTTGTACATGCTCGTCATGAAGAGTGGCGCGGCTGAAGGCTTGTGCCCGGACGGACACGGAGAGAGGTTCGGAGTCGTGACTTCAAATCTGCCCAACATGCAATCCGCCGTGACGCAATCACTGGTGCGCTCGCCAGCGCGAGGGTCTTCTGGCTCCGGTACGAGTCTGCTAAAAGTGCTCTCGGGCATGGCCAAAGTTGCGAATGTTGCTAATCAGGTTCTCGGCGGCGGCGGCGGAGGAGCAGGAGGCGGATACTACAATGGTAATAGCAGCGGTGGAGGATTCGACACATCGGGATTTCAGGCGGGGTTGCAGCAGCAGACTTGGTCAACTACGTCCGGTGCAGCTGGTGATCCCATCCAGTGATTGGGAAACGGTACTTAACGTTTTCTCTTGTCTTAGTATTGGGAGTTTCGGACGGTCAAAGGGTCTTTAATTAATGGATGGGGAGTTATGTCGACGAAGCGTTTAGCTAAAGTGACCTGCGTTTGATTCCTTGAGATACGCTCCATTGAGCCTGGCATTTGAACGTCATCCCGGCATTGACGGATACGAAGCTTGCTCTTACATAAAGTAGCCTGAAAATGGTAAGTTGCGCTTTTGAAAGGGAGCCTGCAGTGCTCGCGCAATAGCTCGTGGGTTAGAAAGTCAGTCCCATATCATGAGGAGAGCTCGTTGGAGAGATCGGAGAACCCCACCATGATTGATGTGACTTTAGAGCACTAGTATACCTAAAAGACGTCCGACAGACAGAGATTTGATTTGACAGAACGGACTTCTGGGTATCATGAAGTTTGGTGGTACTCATACGAGTGGAAGATTATGCCATTACCACCTCTGAAGCAGCCGCTAGAAATGGAGCCCTAAGATCCTTAGGGGCTTTGGCCTTGGCGCTCGATGATGCTTTGATGGGGACGAAGTGGCTCCACCAATTAAAACTTGACCCTTCGACTCTCGTAGATACCCTACAACCTAGATACTGACTTTTCTCACTCCCACGGGGCCCTCAGACTCGAAAGACTGGGTGTCACGGCTCGAGGAGTCTGCCGCCGACAAGATCCAGTATGCCCAAGAAGCAGGCGGGAGAGAATAGCAAAAAGGCTGCCGGCAATGCAAAGGTCCGATGCTGCGTTGCTCTGTCCACTGAGGGCCTGGTAGCTGATCGCACCTTCAGAAAGCCGAAGTAACAAACCAAAAAGCCGCAGCTGAGGGTGCGAAGAAAGCAGCCTCTGAAGATCAGGAATGGGGCAAAGGCGCAAAATCCAACGCTAAGAAGTACACACCTCTCCCCCCGCACTCGATTCAATCTAACCATACTTACAGAGAGGAAGCCGAAGCAAAGAAGCAAGAGGCAGCGCGTAAAAAAGCGGAGAAAGATGCCCTCCTCGCCGCTGAAGAGAAAGACGCCCGCCCCACACCCAAAAACACCAAAACCGCAGTCAAAAAGACTAAAGGCCTTGACCTCTCCTCACTCGACGACGAACCCTCATCCTCTATCTCAAAAGGCAACCCGGCCCTCAACGCCACCGGTATCGACAACGCCCTCGACGCCCTCTCCCTCACCTCCGCCAACCCTTCGGAAAAGATCGACAGACATCCGGAGAGAAGATTCAAGGCTGCGTATGCGGCGTACGAGGCTCGACGCATGCCCGAGTTGGAGGAAGAGCATAAAGGGCTGAGGAAGAAGCAGAGGGAGGATATGATTCGGAAGGAGTTTGAGCGAAGTCCGGAGAATCCGTTCAACCAGGCGAACGCGAGGTTTGACACTACGAAGGAGGAGCTGAGGGAGATGAAAGACCAGGAGAGGGATAAGGTAGAGGCGAGGTTGGCGGCACGGTGAGCTGCGGTGGGGGAAGATGGATGATCATGGATGATGACGGTTGATGAGCAACGATACAAAGGGCTATAGACCTGTGGTTCTGCCGTCGGGAGGCATGCCAGAAATGTATTATTGACCACGTGCATAGTTATTGAGCCTGTTGATCGAACGGCAAAAGCGCACTACTCGGACCCATGATGCTCCAATGTACTTTGGTACGGACTGTTGAAATGGCAGACCTTGTTACCACCAGAAAGTCCCTTCCTTAGCCTCTAACAGCCTTGAGCTCTCCTCTCAGCAAGCAATGAGGCACAAATTCATACCTTGCTGCAACTATGGGGCACCGGGTCAAGCGCCTCATTCGATTTCCTCTTGTTTGATGCTTGCACCGTCTTCCTTCTTCTCGTTTCTGCGTTTCTCTTCCGCCTCTTTCTTTTGCTTCCTCTCTTGATCTTGCCTCTCGGCTTCCTTCTCCGCATTTCTGCGTCTCCATTTCGCATCTCTCTTCTGCTCCTTCTCTCGCTCTTGCCTCTCGGCTTCCATCTCCTCCTTCCTGCGTTTCTCTTCCGCCTCTTTCTGTTTCTCCCACTCTCGATCTCGTTCCTCGACAGCCAAATGGTTGGTCATCCAGTTGACGTCGATCAGCCACTGAGGGGGCTTTTTAACGCCGGGGGGAGCATTGTGTCCGGAGGGGTCCCCGGTGTTTTCGGATGGATTCCCAGACATTGTGATTTGAATGTGAGATGTAGGCTTGAGATAGTAATGCTGAGGATGTCTGGAGACGAAGGGCTGGAGAGGTCCCTGCTGTTATTATACTTGAGTTGGGTTGTTTGCCAATACTCTATTCGCTGACTGAGGTTTGCCTTTTCGTCTTCTCGGAAGCAAAATTAGCGTTTGAAAACCCGAGATCGCGATGTCGAGTTCCGCTGATCGAGTCCTGTTGTGTGGTTTCAGACACATTTCTTGAGACCGAGGACTCATATCAAACAATCGAAAATGGCAGAATGATTGTTTGCTTGTTTGCTCTTTGACACACCCCGCAACTTGCATCCCGGCAGCACTATTCGAGAAGACCGAAAAGCCTACTGGACCCTTGTGAGGGTTCGTGCATGCGCCAGGTCCTATCAAATCACCTATGCCAACCCGAGTGTAGCAACCATCGTCGAGGGCTCCGTATCAGAGATGCCATTTGAACAGGAAGCCCCGATATGCTGACACCCATTCGCTTGCCCGACGACGAAGATGGCCACTTTGGTACGTGACTGGTCTTGGCATTCTGGGCTTCAATACCGAGCTTTCAACCTCATTCCTAGCTCCAGTGGCGATATCTATGCTGTTTTCAAGCAAATTGAGTGAGCTCTTGATTAAGCGCTACCCCCTTCGATCATCTATCTCAGCAAGCTATTCCACAATCCCCCTTTGCCTTCCCTTCCCTTCCCTTCCCTCCCTTCGAATACACCCCCATCCGTCCATGACACCAATCAATCACCCCTCACCACATCCATCCCCTCCCCCGTCTTCTTCCCCCCAGCAATCCTCAAACCCTTCTCCACCTTCGCAATATTCCACGCCACGCCCTCACTCTCCTCGACCAACGCGTCGATCATCCTCTTCCTCTCCACTTCCTCCTCCTCCTCCGCCTCCCTCGCGTGCCGAATATCCGCCCACTCGCTCGCCAGCCTATCTCTATCCTCCTGACTAACCTACACACACATAACCACATCAGCCCACCAAAAATCATCATCATCATCATCATCATCATCATCATCATCTTCTTCTTCTTCTTCCTCTGTAAGGTAAAATGGATAAATGAATCGATCGAATCTTCTCACCTCGGAACACAACGAAAGGTAGTAATTATGCGCATGCTCTCTCTGCACCGGATCATAGAGGTCGCATTTGATCCATTCGAGCCCGACGTGCTGGTAGGTGATGCGGTCTGTAAGGGGGTCCTTGACGGGGCGGTAGGCTTTGAGGAGGAAGTAGGCGGCGTGGGGGAAGAGGAGGACGGGCATTTTTGCTGAGAGGGAGGAAGGGTTAGAGGAGTGGATGAAAGGGGGAGGAAGTGGGAGGGTACCTTGCGGGAGTTTGGTGAATGGTGTTGTGTGTTTTGAAGCGTTGGATGGCGCTGAGATGAGAAGAGTAATGATGAGATGCGGAAAGCTGATGCCAGGTGCGACACAGATGCTCTGGTATCGATGGCAGCAGGTGATGATGAAGAGGAAGGGATTATTCTGTCAGAGGGAAGGAAATGGCTGGTGTTGTATCTGTCTAGCCTGGTCAGATAATCGTCGGGGCGAATGGTGCGGTTGGATGTAAACGAAAAAGGTAAACAAAGGGGGATGGTCGCCGGACAGGCTGCAACTTGATGATTCAGGGTGTTGCATTTAGCATGTGCATTAGACAGTAATATGGTATATTGATGAGTCTCGCAGGTTGGTGTAAGAGGTGGTGGTTGGGAGTAGGAGAGGGAATTGGTGTGAAAAGATGTGAGTCTGTTACACTTTCTCTGCATTCCTTTGTCACAACAGCACTGTCCTCAGACCGCAGGGTCTCAATGTGAGGCATTGAATGACCTGAGAAGCACGGTTATGGGTAGGAGGCTATCGTGGCCGGGTTTCATGTACATATTGTGTATGTCCGTTTTCCTATACAGCATGACTCTCAGCAAGCTCAATGGAAGCAAAAAGCAGATGCTCGCTTGCAAGAACACCAGCCTATGCATTACCAATCCATCCTTGTCTCTGAATCAGCCAACCACAGCTTTCACGCTCAAATTTTCCAGAAAGCCACCCAAATCCTCCTTCTTGACCTCGACAACGCAATGCTCGAAGCTGTCAATCCTGACTCTGGCATTGGTCTCTTGGGCAACTTCCTCAAACGCATTACCAAACCGGTTCTTCCCATAACCATTCCCGGCATCGTCATCATCGTCGTCATCGCTTTCATCCTCGTCGTCATCCTCTTCTTCGCTTTCTTGCTCGCCGTCGTTCTCTTCCCTCTCCTCTCTCTCCTGCCTTTTCCGGTCCTTCTCGGCGAGCCTAGCGGCTCGAGCCATTGCTTTCTCCTCCAACCTCGCTTTTCGCTTAGCTCGAGCTGTGAAGTCGACTACGCCACCACCTCCCCCTGTGCCGACGACCACGAATACGCCCCTGGCCTCGTTGAGACTAGCCAAGACGAGGGGAGTGCCCCAGCCATCTTTCCCTATCTTGCCGCGTTGATCACGCTCCTGTTCGGCAATAGCTTCGCCAACCCAGAGCGCGAGTTTGGTTAGAGCTGCTGGATGGGTGAACATCTGGACATCGGGGCCCTCTTTGACGACAGCCATTCGAAAAGCGCGTAGATGGCGAATTTGGCGCTTTTCGATGAGGGAGGTGCCGGTGCGGAGGATAGCTTTATGGAGATGCTGGGCAGTGGGAAGTGCGTGTTTGAGTGCTTCGATGCTGTGTTACAAGTCAGAATTATGTAGAAGTGAAGGATATCTCAGAATCTTGACTTACTTTTCAAGAGCATCATACGCCTCCCAGAACCTCCGCACCCACTCTTCACCCTCTGCTTTGCCATCTTCATCCACCAGCTCTCTCTGCTCGCCCCTTCCACGGTCCCAGTTCCTCGACGAATCACCTGCTGCAACGCCAGACTTTCCCACCTCAAGGATCGCTCCGACTATTACGCCGACGTCTTGTGCACTTAAGCATGCTTTCCAGCCCCAGCTTCTTACGAAACCCCAGCCTTCTCTTCCACAACCATTGCTAGCTCTTGGCGGTACTAAGCCATCTAGTCCATACAAGGGAGCATAGGTTAGTAACCTCTCCCGTAAGCCTCGCTTGAGGTCCATATCCATGTGCGTGTAGCTCTGTTTGCATTGACTCAGACTGACTCCCATTTTGGCCAGAAGCTTATGTAGTCTTTTTCTACCAACATCGCTCCATATATGCAACCGAGAAGCTAAATAGGGAGAATGAAGCATGCTGTCATATAACGACCAATGTCTGATCATGAGGAAACGGGGTTCAGGAGATAGTCGGATTGAAGTATCCGTGGGTGAGCGAGCTGTGGTGGGTATGACGCCTGAACTCTCTCCGCGACAATTCTCTCGAGATGTTTCGCTAGGATCTGGCGGATTCAATCGGCGGACTTCGTCTCGTAGTACTTGCCGTATTCGTTCCCCTCGTTCGCCTCCCCAGCCCGCTGAGCCACCAGCATCTAGAGAGGTCGATATTCCAACCCCAGTCATGCTTCGCCCGTATAGTTCCAGCGAGCTGACCCCAACAATGGCATGCCATAGGAGATCGTTATCTTCGCGGCCAAGATCCTCAGCCAGGGAGTAGAGAATTGATGAGATGGGCTCTGAGTAGGTCGCACCACCCGAATAATACTTCTCGAGGGTGGCAGTGTACTTTCGACGATCACGGAGGAGCTTTCGACGCAGTGATCCTATCGTTGGTCCTTTCGGTGGTCCTGGTGACGAAGCTTGCAATGGAGGGGGAGGTGACGTTTCGGAGGAGCCTCGTACAGTTCTTGAGCTCTCTTGGCGGCGACGACCGGGTGAATTAGATGTGGAGCCACTCTGTTTTTTGTGTTAGCAAGTTCTTTAGAAATGTACGAAGGAAGATCACACATACAGAGTTACTTCTCGGCCTTTGACGAGGTCTTCTGTTCTCATCTTGACTCTCCTCGTCCTCCTCATCTCGGTCCGACCAAGACTTACGCTTCTTTGAGCGCTGCCCACCCTCGATTGAATCTACTATATCGCTCTCATCGCCTGAGTTACCAGAGTCCTCGCCATAATCCTCTACGCCTTGCATCCTGGTGAGTTCGCAGTAAGCCTCTCGCTCAGCACCCAACTCTTCATCAATATCTCCATCATCATACACTATAATTCCGCCTCGGCCAGGCTTGTATGACGGTTGTATCCGTCCATTATCAACAACTGGATTTATTGCCGCAGCATCGCCGCTGATCTCTCGGAGAGCAACAGCGGTTGGATCTCCTTCAAAGACATTCCCCAGATTCCACGGCCGTCGCGCGTCAATGAGCCATACTTCGACGCCTCCGGACAAGTCTTCTCCTGGGTCGCCCGAGTCCAGTCCGAGTTCACTTGACATATCGACGAGTCCCCCTACACCGAGACATACCACCACCCCTCCGCTCCCACCTTGTTGTATCTTCATGGGCTGCACCATGGTTCTCCCCGCTTGTGTAAGATCCCCATAGCCGGAGATGGGTTGGATCTTGTGCAGTATGTAGTCGCGTTTGAGGAGCGCTGTGAGTATTCGACAGGCGCAGAGAGCATCGGGCTCTAGTGCGACTAAGATTAGGACAGGGGGTGACAGAGGGTGATTGTTCCGTTGGAGATGTTGGTAGAGGTGGGAGATCAGATTGCGTGGGAGGTACATGACGCGCTCTTCTTTCGTACCGGATCTGGTTCTGAAGGCGCAACGAAGCTGGAAATTTACGACGAAGATCCACCAGCATCTCTTTCAATATTTCCACAACGGTCACAGAAAAATGCACAAGAAGCATGTACCGGTAGAAGGGGCACTCGGCATGGAGAAATGGTTTGCAGTAATCCAGGATCTAGCGGTCAGGCTCACTTGAGAGGTAGAGGTGAATTAACCGGCGCGCTGCTCTGTACAATCAGCCTCATGAAAATCAGAAAAACAGAATGAGAAGTAGAGATAGAGAATATCGATATTGACAAGATGCTGATCTCCAAGACCGACGCGCTCAGAATCTCAAGAAGTCGCGAAGCATAGGGCTGAATGTCCGATACGCTAGCGGCAGCTCCTACGGCAGGTCGTATGTACGGATCCGCACTTGTCAATTATTGACAACTCCAGAGCTCATCTTTTTGTATTGGTGAACTACTACCCTCACCATCGTCTCCCGTCCTCACCCACCCTCTCCTCACAACCCTCTCCCCTCCCTCTCCCCCTACCTCCCTCCGCCCCCAGAAATGAAGCTCCCACCCCTCTCCCTCCTCCCCCTGACCCTCCTCCCCCTGCTCCTCCCCCCCTCCCTCGCCGCCCACACCTCCAACTGGGCCGTCCTGGTCTCCACCTCGCGCTTCTGGTTCAACTACCGGCACCTGGCCAACGTGCTCTCGCTCTACCGCACCGTCAAGCGGCTCGGGATCCCGGACTCGCAGATCCTCCTCATGCTCCCCGACGACATGGCCTGCAACCCGCGCAACGCCTTCCCGGGCACCGTCTACAACAACGCCGACCGCGCGCTCGACCTGTACGGCGACAACATCGAGGTGGACTATCGCGGGTACGAGGTCACGGTGGAGAACTTCATCCGGTTGCTGACGGATCGGTTGGGGGAGGATGTGCCGCGGGGGAAGCGGCTGGGGAGTGATGGGGGCAGTAATGTGCTGGTGTACATGACGGGACATGGGGGGAATGAGTTTTTGAAGTTTCAGGACAGCGAGGAGATTGGGAGTTGGGATTTGGCGGATGCGTTTGAGCAGATGTGGGAGAAGAAGCGGTATGTCTTTCCCTCCTCTCATGCCGCCGCGGCTTTTCCGTGTTTTTTCTAGGAACTAAGGCTGACTGAAATGGTGGTATAGCTATAACGAAATGCTTTTCATGATCGACACCTGCCAAGCCAACACTCTCTACAAGCACTTCTACTCCCCTAACATTATCGCCACCGGCTCCTCTGAAATTGACCAATCCTCCTACTCCCACCACGCAGACAACGACGTGGGTGTTGCTGTCATAGATCGCTGGACCTACTACAACCTCGACTTTCTAGAAACCCAAGTCACGTCTCCAACTTCAAAGCTCACGTTAGCGGATCTTTTTGGTAGCTACGATGAGAGCAAGATTCATAGCAATCCGGGATACCGATGGGATCTGTTTCCAGGAGGGGAGGAGAAGGGCAGGGAGAGATTGGTGATGGATTTCTTTGGAAATGTGCAGGGTGTTGAGGTTGAAGGAGTGGGCGGGAATGAGACGGAGTGGAGGGAAGATATGAGGAGATTAGAGGAGATCATCAACAGAGCACGCGCGAGAGGAAAAACGACAGAAGCTAAGAAGAGCGAGGCACCTGGTGAGGAGGTAATAGCGCATGGGAGGGATTTGGGCAAGGGAAAGGTTGAGGGCGTAGCCAAGATTGAGGGAGTTGAGGCGTGGAGCCAGCGGATTCTGGGAGCGGGAGCTCTTCTTGGGTGTGCGTTATTTTGGGGTGGGGCTTCTTGGCTGGAGTCGCGGTGACAAGAAGAGCGAATGTGATCTCTAATCTCATCAATATATGGATCTAGATTCCTCATTTGCGCGGTACCTCTCGAAGACCGCGCGCTCCCATGTTGGAAATCTCTGGTGTCGTGAAAAGAGTAGGATTGGGTATCATGCGCCATAAGAGACGGCCTATATTGGAGATACAATACTTCAATATCAATAGGCTAGCACGCTAGGTACTAAACTTGAGGCAAGAAGAGTTGAGAGCCGTAATGTATGACATTGACGCCGATCATGATTTCGTGCAGGCCGTCTCCATCTGCGCAAAGCCCAGCTGGGAAGTGGAATTGTGATCGATAGCGGCATGCCGCTCACGAGGCTTGGGACAGCGTCCAGCGCCGCTTGGAACCTTGATCACGCTCTGTTCCGAGCGCTTGCGGTGGAGCACCCCAGAGACCGTTCGGAGCGATGGAATGGCCTTGATTGGCGTGATCAAGAATGCCAATCGGAGAAGTTCGGCCAGAATTGGATGAACCATTAAGTCGTTCATGTCGATCCACTTCTCCTCGCTCTGAGAAACCGTCAAGGTTCCCTGCCTTGACTGGGGCGCTTTGACCTGCTTGCGGGCCGAGATGCTTGCTCTCTTGTTCCACAGCTTTGTCTAGTTGTTCGGGGACAGGCATGCTCCAGAGGCCACCTGACGATTTGACGACAGTAGTAGAACTTCTCTGGAGTCCTCCGAATCTGTCGTTGATTGGGCTATCCAGATGAAAGTCCTCTTTGGTCGGACTGAACTTGGAGTGATGGGGATTGACGAACCCAGGACGTTCATATCTGTACGGAGACTTTTCTCTGATTGGCACGCTTGGAGTACGCTGAAGCTGGGGGCCCGCTAAGAATGGAGATCCTGCTCGCAGATGTTCTGTTGAAGCGGTGAGCTTGACTTCATAATCTTCCGATATGCCGAGGTCAATCAGCGAGTGTCGTCGTCGGGATGGAGACGCTGGCACATCCTCAGAGTGAGGTGAGGAGACTCTTTTGTAAGCGACGCTCTTCCGTACAGCCATGGTCAGTGAAGCCATGCCAACGTCCAAAAGGACGGGTTGACTCGTCAATGCTCCGATCAAGGCATTGCATCCAGCGCCATGGGTCACCAAAACCAGTACAGTGTCCGTCTCATCGTCATCGTAATACTCCGGGTCCTTACTGACGGAGTCTTTCCTTTCTAGAGAGTCTTCCTCTATGGGCTTCAGTGTCTCGGAGTCATCATGAGTGCGGTACCAGGAGATCATCTCGTGCAAGCCTTTTCGGAATCGCTTGTGCATGGCGCTCCATTCTTCTCCAAATTCACCTCCGCTGCCCCATTCAAGCGGTGGTCGTAAGCTATCCCATAGATTGTCCACCCTGACACATGCGTCACGTGCATGGGAAACGTACCCGGGAGGTATAGGTTGCGAAGGCGAGATTGCGTACGCAGGTATCGGAGGCACATAAGTCGGGCTTTCTGGAGTTGGGCTTCTTTCGGCTCTTCTGTTGAGCATCAGATCAGATCTCTTCGGAGGATTTCCAACACTATGACTATTGGCACGGCCTAATCTAGGCATAGTTTGGCTAAGACTGGACAGGTCGGCCAGAGTCGTGTCATCGTCAGAATTCAGGGACTTGGTATTTATTGCACTTCCGCTGTTCCAACCGCCTGGAAAATTGCCCTGTCCAGATGGGTATTTGTTGGATGTGTGTGTTACATTGACCGGGTCTTCATGATGCAGCAGATCTGCTTTCGAGCTTGCTACCATCATCTTGGACTCAGGCGGAGGTGTGATCTTGTCAAAGTACTCTGGAGAAAGCCACTCTCCCAGGAAAGCGTCCACCCTCAAGAGGGTTCGATGCATTTTTTTCTTTTGTCTTGATCTGCCATGATCCTCAGGCTCAGCAATTGCCGACAGATAGGGTGAGTTCCGACCATCCATCGCCCGAATATGAGGCGAGCCAGAGTGCATCACGTGCGGTCTTGGATGCGTTTGATGACTGCTTGGATCGGGGGGTCCTTGATACTGAGCTATTCCGGCACTAATGGCGATGGAGGTCTGAACGCATCTCAGGAATGGCGAAGTGTGCATGACGACCTTGTGTTTTCGTCTTTTTTCACGGTGTGATTGATGGGCACGTCCTTGTTTCTCTCCGAAATCGCCATTGATATTCAGTCTGTCCATATGTCCATCAAGATCATCAAGGGTATGCGGGTTTGTGACGACCTCTCGAGCGTGTAATATGCTCGCAATCCTTGCGCCCAGAGCTTGAGACTGCCTCCATCCGCCATAAGTCAAAGGAGGGTCGTATGGCGTTGGCGAGGTCAAGTGCCATTGAGTGTCGGCAGCATCCAGTCTAGCACCATGCCTGCGTTTGATATTAGCAGAACGTAGCTTCATAATTTGGCTTGTGGATAAAATACCTCACAATAATGACTACGGCCGGTGGTCGACCCATCTTGGACTGGTCTTGCAATTAGTATAGTTCGAAGCGTAGAGAGTACTGCATGAATCTTCGAATACGGCGACGGAAGTGATGATGGCTATGATATACTTGTGGACCTGGTTTGCACCAGTCGTGAGAAGTCAACAGAAGTTTGATACTTCACTCAACTGCCCTTGCCCTAGCCCCGCGAACGCCTCAACGGCCCCATGCCTTCCCGCGGCTAAGGAAACACTTGCAGCCTTGCAGCCTTGCAGCTAGTACTTTACGAGCCCCGTGCAGATCAAACCCTCGCCGTGGCTGGCTTGGCAGAGATATCCCCGGATCAACTTCGTTTTAAAGGGTTTGGACTCGTAGATACCAAGACATGATTCAAGGATGAGGTAGCCATGATGAACAATAGATTCGGACAATACTTTTATCTGATCCGGCAGGACATTCATTGGACGAGAGGACACCCTCGTGCACTTGGCATTGGACCCTGCCAAGCAAAAGCAAACAGATTTCTTTCGCTAGATCGCTCCTGCTTACCACCTCCAGTACCTAATCTTGCATTGATATACTCTCCATTCATGAGTCCCAAAATGATTTATCCTCAACACGTGTAAGGCTTTCCCTGCTGCGGGCCAACGCAGAGTGGCAAAATTCCCACCCATTCCGCTCAAGCCTGGCTGTTTTCGACGCTTCCCACGTCTCGAATCCTTTCCATCAACGGCGCAGCCAACCATTGTTCCCTCCGTACTCAATCGTCTCATCAGGCAAGTACGCCGCTGTCGCTATGAGACATGACGCAAATTGGTTGTCCGAAAGTTATACTCGGAGGAGTCGACAACAAATCTTGAAACACGACTCTCTCCTCGATTTGGATGTTCCAAACCAGCCACGAGTGGGATGTCATACCCTCGCATGAATGTGGGATTTGAGGAATATCTACTCGGCTCTGAAGTCTCCAGTCGCTTGGCCAGAAAAGCCTTGCGGACTACGGACTGACCACCGTTGCGACTGGCGGTGTGGCTGCATATAGAGTTCGCTGACTAGATGCTGTTCCAAGATGATGCGATTTGCTGGACGAGCAAGGGACCTTTGCGAAATGCGAATATCAGCTCAGACTTTTCAAGCGGACTTATCATAGCGATTGAAATTGAATTTGTGGTCATCCTGTTTCAACTTATGCACGCCTTGCCAGGCTACTGCGGATGGCCAATATGCGACCCTACATCCGCCACAGACGCCAACACCACAGAGGAGGAAACCTTCCTCTCAGCACGCTTGTCATGCTTTTCATTCTGACTGTCATCCTCTGGTTGACGTTTGTGCTGTTCTTTCGGAGATCCTCTACTCTTGCTGACAGCCCGAGGCCTCCATCACTGATCCCTGCGCATGCAGTCTTTGGATGAAAGCGATCAAAATGCGCCTTTTACGAGCCCGCAGGATGAGGAATATTCTTCGTCATCAACGGTGATCAGAATCCTATGGTAGCAATCCCTGCACATATTGGCGTGGGTCGGCATTAGATTCATTGTCTGAACCTATGACGCCTATTTCTGATAATACCAGGCATTTGTCAAGGATCGCATTGACCCCACCACCGCGCCACGCCAGGCCTAAGATTCTGCTCAATCGCTTCAAAGTATATATCTGGACGCTTAAGCTAGGACCAGTCGCGACCCACCACTCACTGTTCAGCTGTAATGCATATCGGCTGAGGGTCAAGCATGGGAGACCTCGCAGATCTTCGGTAGCCAAAATGCTTCTATCTGGAAACCAAACATTTCACAGAATTCGGGCGCCATTCGTCGTCGTGCGTAAGCGTGCAGCCGCCTCCGGGTGTTCTATGAGGTTGCGAGTACCTTCCTTATAAGACCGTACAGAGTAGTAACCTGCCTCCTTCAGTCAAGATGTACTACATTCGTTCATTGGTGCTAAGAAGTTGTCTTCTGTTTTACTACCATCTTTTCTGATCATACTCACTTCACTCTTTACGCGCTGCTTGTGAATCCTAGTGAATTCATCCAACTAATCCACAATTCGACCTAGATCAAATCGGCCGACGGAAGACTTCCCAACTATCACGCCTTTAAGAGAAATCGAAAATCTCCCCTTCAACAGCTTCACACAGCATTTCATATGATCGGTGAGAGTTGAACTCAATCGCTCTCTGCAATCCTTGGAGTTTCCGCTTGTTGCCTATGAATGGCCTTCGACCCTGCATTGTCCTAGTGGCACACAAACACAACTTGGATCTTCTAGGCCTGCATCAAGTGTGCACGGATACCGGGCTTTTCTTTTGAATCATTGCCGGCAACATGGAACTCCTTCCAATCATCATTATTGTCTCGCTCCTCGGATTCTTCATCATTCTCACCGCCGGGCTTTTTACCTGGCAATATCTGAAAGCTAGAGAACAACATAAAAGACGGCTAGACAGTGAAACTCAAGATAGGCCCACCCGTCATCTTACGGTGCGAAGTGGCCAGGTCATACCAAAATCGGAAGCGGCAGAAACTGCGAGCACCCGAGACCCTGCATCGTTCGACCTTATTCGCCCAAAAGCAACATACACTGTCAAGTGTGAAGCCGAGAGACGGAAGACCTCAGACACATGGCCCCCGAAGGTCTCAACTCACCGTCAGGACAATCCTTCGAAGGCCACAGACATGGAGGCGCAGAGCAAGGACGATGGGAGGTCCAAAGTTGCGGCATACACTTGGCCACCAAAGCCTGCAGCTCGTAGCCAGAAACATCCGTTTGGTAGTACAGATCTGGAGGGTCAGACTCAAGATTCGGGAAGGTCCAAAATTGCTGAAAGCGAGTGTTTCCGTCGCAAGGAGGAAATGGCGAAGGTTCACGCAAAGCTCTCCCGACCAGTTCCAATGACACAACGATCGGGCTCACTGACATTACCTCGACCGGCTTTGGTGACCATCGAGTCTCGCAGACCTTCAGCTGCAAAATCAAATGATTCTCAGTCTCGCCAGACATCCAAGTCAAAGTCCAGTCCTCAATCCCGCCATCCTTCTTCGTCTCAAAATCGAGAAATTGCCGAGTCCCTTCAGAGGGCTTACACAGGTCCATCAATATTTGGGGGAGAAGCTCGCCAGCTACCTGCTAGTCCTATTTTATGGAATTCGTCGCTTCATACGGCAGAAAGTAGAAGGGCGAGTGGACGCCGATCTTCAGGTCGATCTGCGGACGGCTCAACAGTAAGCTCACGAGTCATATCTGATTCCGTTCAAAGACCTCCGCCACTTTTCTCTACTGTCGACTACAGTCCGCATGTCAGCTTTGCGCCTGTCCAAAATATCTCTCATGGTGACGATGATGTCAATCGTGTCTCCTTCCTGTCAATGACAGACTCGGCAAGCTCATCATATACAACTGAACAGGTATCACCTGTGCTGCGCGCTCCACCGCCGTCGATAAACGAGCTCATCCAGTACGAGACATCTCCGCCAGTGTCCAGCGGCTTAGTATCGTACATGCCAGACACCCCAGGCTTCGTCAGGGACACGGCGCCGCAGCTTGACACTCCCGACTTCGGCAACATGTCTTTCTTTGACTCGACAAGATCATCTGATGAATCCAGCCAACTTGAGAGTCCCAAAAAATTGCAACGAGGTGTCTCCGTGATGTCCAATCGGTCCATTCTTACGATCGCTTCATCGGAGATTTCGTCCAACTGGACGATTGGGAACGCACAAGTAGTGAACATATATCCTAGTGTGGCTCAAGAGAAAGACAGGGCAACGCCGCCATATGCGCGGAGGCTGCGATCCAAATACGGGCGTTTCCCGAGAGGGAGGGGTGATAAGGCGCTGCCGGGAATCCCGAAGTCGCCATTGTGGCAGAACGACTTTGGAGACGTGCATGAGTGAACATTCAACGGTTGATGTGACCTTTGAATCTGATCCTTCACCATCACCGGTTTGGGATGTCTACCCATATGAGCGACAACCTTCTTTGCACTTGGTCCACCAACGCAGTGACAACTTGGGATTGTCTCCTTCAAAGCAGCAACCGCTTTGAATGTTCCTCCTTTAGGACAGCAATTGCCCTGTGCCTACCACTTCAATCCAAATAACTACTCGCGGTTGGAGGGAATCCACACCTGAGGTCGGTCTACTTCCGGAACAGTAAATGCTCGGGGGTCGCTGCTTCCGATCATCAAACGTTTAAGGCTCTGACAGTGCCGATTCATACAAAATGTTTGCAGTCGCCATAGCACGTCTCATTGCATGGGTTTATGTAAGAGCTGAATTGGAACAGGATCTGGATGACGGATGGGTATGCGAAACAGAGGGACTGTTGGGGATATGAGATTGAGTTGGCAGGAAGGGTCAGCCAAATGCAGCTGACCATTCTTTCTTGAACATACTTAGACATCTATGCTTGTATTCAACCTCGTTAACACCTCGGTTACTTCGTGAGCCCTGTAGAGTACATCTCATCAAGCCAGTACGATACGGTAAATTAGATCAAGGGCCTCGGGGTACCCGTGTTTTTCATGCTGTCAGATGTGACAAGGAAGAAAAGAAGAAGAAGAAAGAGACTACGTTGAATACGGTAGAAGGAAGAAGCGAATCTGACAGTGCCAAGAAATATCACGCGCTAACACGAGACTACGGAGACCGGCCCTACCTAGATTTCTAGCGCCAAGATCTCGGGTAATGCATCTCAGCACAACATCAATCAGCGTCATCCTGACAGAAGATTCAAAGCATTCTGGTGCCGTTTGCGCTTTCTTCAGGATTTATCCCGTTATTTGATTGTATGTTGTCTCATGCTTTGAAACGGACAGAAGGTTCCATCTGCGTTAGGCTGAAAGGAGTATCGCACCACCGCCATTTGGGTGTGCGCAGGACTTTCGAAAGGAAGAAAGGAAACCACCGTCGCCACTTTATCGCCTTCTCATACAACGTAGTTTTCAATGGCCAATGTCTTTCCAGCTAAACCCTGGCCGTCACCAGCTCGGCACCATCAATCGTACCCATAAGCCACAACATTGTCCTCATACGTATACGCAAACGCGGCGGCAGCGATCCCAACACAAGCACTCACATCGCCACCGGGCACGATCGCGTCGGTCAACCCTGTCACGTTGGCGAATACGCTGTAGGGGATGCCAGTGGGTCCGTCGCTCGGACAGGCCAGGAAGCCGTCGGCGCCGGGTCCCGAGAACATGAACGATCCGGGCCCGTCGTCGTCGTCGATGGCAGGGGTGTAGGTGAAATTGGCCGTCGCGGCGCCCTCGGGAATGGCGCCGGGGCTGCCGGCGCGTGTGAAGGAGAGTGCGCCGTGAGGATCGACGTAGAGGTTTTGGCCTCCGGCGACCGAGACGTCCTGGGTTGGTTAGCTCGGTCCGCAATTCTTTTGTTGTTTCGCGGAGGGATGCCGGAGGCGCGTACCAAGAATGATTTGCCGTTGGCAACGATGAATCCTGTCTGATTTACAATCGGGCACGGTGCTAGCGGACAGTAAGTTTCGGGTCTTTCGCCGATGTAGAAGCCTCCGAGTCTGGCGTTGATGGGTTGGAGATGGATGGGGCTTGTTGAGTGGATTGCGAGGAGATGAAAAGGAGGTGAGATGGTAAGGGGCTTGAGCTTGAGATGGTTGCAGAAAGCTAGGAGGGGGATGCCAGAGGCGAGCAGTGTCTTGGTGAAATGCATGATATGGATGGTGAGTTCTGCGTCGAAAGCCGGTAACGGATTGAGTTTTTGTTGATGTAAATAGAAAGGCTGTCGCTTTCGTTGCTGTCCGAGCTGATGCTGCTGGCGAAATGAGTATTCAGAACGAGACTCGTGTCTTATACCCAGCTTTGTCACTGCAATTTCCCATAACGCAAGCAATCAGAGCACCTTGACCGGGGTCGAAACATCTTCCCTGTGCAATGTGGACCTGTATGCGCGCAACTCCACCACCAGTGAGTCTCTCGTAGGTATATACAGCTAAGCCTTCCCCACACTCATGCATCATGCACAAAGACGTCGGTACAGGGAGCTTTGATTGGTTGATCATGGTCGCTTGTAGAACAGTAATTTATTGATATTGCAGCCGCGACCTCAACCCGAGCGGCTGCTGCGTGATCAACGAGGTTCTCACTGCGTGGGGTTTTGCGAGAGAGCTGAATTGGAATGTGATTTGAATGATGGACAGGCATTCGAAACGTGGGGACATGAGATTGGGCGGGTCGGAAGGTTGCCTATATGCAAATTTGAACGAACATTCTTGGGTAAACATAGATCATATTTACATTCAACCTGGTTTACATCTCGTGAATCGTACGGATGTCGGTCTTGGCGTGGTGTATATGTAACGGGCAGCCTGAAAAGCTGTCCGAACAATTGGCTTGAGACTGCATATCCCTGAGGTTCAATTCTTGCGCTCCGGGGTCTCCCGCTTCACGGCTGCCTCCCGAAAACCCTTAGGGTCAAGGATCGTTAATGACGTTTCCGGTGCCGACCTCCGCACTCGAAAGTGTAATTCGGCCCCCTCATGCTGTAGAGAGGAGATCTGATCAAGTCAATAAGTTACCGTTCTGACTCCTGACAATATGGTACTCGTATCTAAAGCTTATAGAGGCCTCGGGGAAGGTCGGGGCACGTAATGTAAAGTAGGGATCTTAACGCTACGTATATGCATAGGCGGCTTGGTGGTGCGATAAGCCCTAAGATAATGCAATAGCGAGTTGGAGGTGGATGATCTAAACCTGTTAAGGCAGTTGGTACTTGGAATCCCTTGAAAATGCATCGTCGCTCGTGATCTACCTTGTCATGAACTTTATATTGCACCTGACTCCAATACTTTCCACAAGCTAGCCTCTTACCCCCTATACTGTCAGTCTTTCTTCACTAAACTCACACTCGGGTTGCCGCTACTCCCCGCTTTCACGCAATCCTTCGTTGTATAAATGGGAGTTTCTCATTCAACAATGCCAGAGTCAGTAATTGGAGATCAACTGGCAGAAAGACTCGAAGCTTTGGACGTACAAGGTCCACCAGAAAAGGACTACGTTTACGTGAAGAGCGATATGGAGACACCACGTACCCCAGACTCTGCCAACGAGTTGCCCTCAACGGCATGGGAACCTACTCTGTCCATTAGCACAGCGGAGCACTGGGAGAAGGAGCTCTTGCAAGATCCAAAGGTATCCTTGCTCCTGTCCTACCCTTTCATCCCATCATGCCTCGCTCCCAATGTTCCTGCTGACGATGAAATACAGAACCGTCTCGCTCTCTCCGCCCTTTCTGGCACCGACCCCAAGCAGGTCCTAACCCAACGGTCCGCCACGATTGCCGACACTCAGAACTTCAACATCAAGATCAAGCTCGAAGGAGCTCCCATCACCAACCAGCGATCCTCTGGACGATGCTGGCTCTTCGCTGCCACCAATGTCTTCCGCGTCGCTATCATGCGGAGGTACAATCTGAAAGAGTTCGAGCTGAGCCAGTCATACCTGTTCTTCTGGGACAAATTAGAGAAGGCGAACTACTTCTTGGAGCAGGTTCTGGATACAACGGACGAGGAGCTGGATGGAAGGTTGGTGCAGACGCTTATGGCGTCGCCGGTCGGTGATGGAGGACAATGGGATATGGTTGCGAATTTGGTGGAGAAATACGGCCTGGTGGGTGCATACTGGGCTACTTCCCGGCTACAAGTTCGCTGATATGAAGTTTGTAGGTCCCCCAAACACTCTACCCCGATTCCCACAACGCTATGAACTCCAGCACCATGGCCTTGCTCATCACCACCAAGCTCCGAGAAGACGCCCTAGAGCTCCGACGTCTGGCCAGCAAAAGTGATAACCCAAGATCCACACTTGGCAGTGTCAAGGACAAAATGATGCAAGAAATCCACCGTGTCCTAACCATCATGCTCGGCCCTCCTCCGAATCCTAACAAAGATATGACATGGGAATACTACGACAAAGACGACAATTTCGGCACTCTTACAACGAGCCCATTGGATTTCGCCGGTGAGCTTTCCAGCGAAGCCAGCATCGAAGCCAATCGCGGTGCCGACGTTCACGAGCTGTTCAGTCTTGTCAATGATCCCCGGAATACCTACGGTGACCTGCTAAGCGTGAGCCGTCTTGGGAACGTGATCGGCATGCGCGGCGTCCGTTACGTGAACGTCGACATGGACACCATGAAAGCCGCTTGTATAGCCATGCTGAAAGCTGAACTCCCCATCTTCTTCGGCTCGGACGTTGGGAAGTTTTCAGACTCGAAATCTGGCATTATGGATCCAGGGCTTATTGATTACGAGCTCGGTTTCAACATCAGGCTCGGGTTGACAAAGGCGCAGAGACTCAAGACGGGAGAGAGCGCGATGACGCATGCGATGGTACTAACGGCCGTGCATGTTGATGGGGATGGCAAGCCGGTGAGGTGGCGGGTACAGAATAGTTGGGGAGAGGGGGCTGGAACGAAAGGATGGTTTGTTATGAGTGATGAATGGATGGATGAATTTGTTTACCAGGCTGTCGTCGACCCGAAGTATGCTTCCCGCCCACGAATATGAACCTACAATGCTAATGGGAGCTAGATTCGTTCCGGAAGATATTCGGGATGTGCTGAAGAAGGAGCCGAAGATGTAAGTGCTTCCCAGTCCTGGTGGCAGTCGATGCAGCGCTGATCCATTCACAGGCTTCCGCTATGGGATCCTATGGGAGCTTTGGCATGAACTAGCGTTGCATTCCCCCTTCAGCGTTCATTTTGGACTCACTGTTCTGCGCATTCTTTGCATTGGCGATATATCATAACGAGACCATTGATTCATTTAGAAAGAATGCCTCTGTACCCATGTCTCATTTCCTTTTCCGCAACAGGCTATTCTCTACATCATCCTTCCCTGCTATCCAATCATTCCTAGTCACCTCTGTTCATTGCACCTCCCATCGACGGGCAGGGAGGAACAAATCAGTGGTTCAGCTCTGCAAGCCAAGATATCTCACACGGAAGGCGCCAAGTCGATGGGATAAATCAAGCTGTGCTCGCCCTCCGATCCCTTGTCCAACCGAGTCGATCTTTCGTCCCCCACCAACCAAGGACTGACTCCCCGGGCCCCACCGCCGTTCACCGAACTCGAATTTCGCAACCGCATCCGAAAGATGGACACTGACATCCAACCTCCTCACCCTCCGAGCCGGATGAAATAACTCGATTCAGGCGTACCTCGTAAGCGACGTCTGTTGACCCAATTCCGCTAGCTTTTGCAACGGATATACCATAACCTATCTCCCCTCCCCTCCCTCAACAACTGAGCCGGGATGCCTCAACAGGACCATCAGCGGACCGCGGACCCGTATCCCCGACGGAGCAGCCTGGGTCTGGGGAGGCGATCTGAGCGTGTCGTCCGCCGTTGCGGCCGGGATGAGGAACGGGGACTTGTCCTGCCGTTCTGTTTTTTTTCCCATCGGCCTTGGACGGCGCGGGGGGTTATGCTTTGGAGCGGCGGATGGATGGAGTTTCGGTTCGATGAAGCATGGGTGGTGCGTGTGGTTGTTGTTTTGGGTTGGTGTGGGTTTTGCGGTATAGGATTCTTCTGGCTGCTGTGGTTTGTTGTTCGGTTTGTTGGGGTGGGATGCTTCGGCTGGGGTTTGGGTTGGGGTGGTGGGGTGGTGTTTGTCGGTAGGAAGTTTTGAGTATCTGCAATTTTCGTTGATAGCGAACGACGGTAGTTTTGAAGTAAGGAAAGTGTCTCGTGGTTTCTGGTATACGTCAACGCGTCCTGACCCATACGGGGATAATGTTGAAGAGTTGAAGTTTTGTTCCGGGAGATGGATTGGAGGTTGGTGCTTGGCATCGCATCTTCGGCTGCCTGCTACTGCAAGTCGACGCACATTCTGCATCGATGGATGTATCGACCAATAACAGCTCCTCCCGGTCTTGTCTCCTTCCGAATGGCTGCTTTTGTTCGTGGTAGCACTAAAAGATGAAAGACACGGGCAATCCTCAGGTCGCTCCGCAGTTTCAACAATACTTCTCGTTGTCCGCGCCTCACCAACTCGTGATTCTCGTATAGTATCATCAGGCAGCGTGTCGCAGCCACCTTCGCTACCTGCAACCTACAAACCTATCGCACGCAACTGAGCTACTAGACTATGACACCAGTCCTCCCCAACCTCAGTGGGAGAGGCCGACCCTTCCATGCCAAGATGTTAGCACGCTCGTCTTCTTCGCCACCGTACAGATGGTTCTTTCTGCAGGTTCCATAAGGTAGGCGGTACAACGCCCTGCCACCCTCGAGCGGCATTGCGATGGCGCTAGGGGGGAAATCGTAGCACAGGACATCACAGCCAATATGAATCAAGTCCCGGTCGGCAATGGCCAGAGAGACTTCGTCAAGGACTGAACGTAAGCCTTTGTGCGAAAGCTGTATAGAGGCAAGGATAAATCAGAGAAGGAAGATCGCGGAGCTCTTCGCCCTTTGAAAAATGCATCCAGCATCTGAAAGTATCTTATTGGAAAGCTTGCTTTCTCATTACTCAAGACTGAAATCACAAAATGTTCGACAACCATAAATTTAAGGTTGGCCAATTAGATCCTCAGATATCGTAATTTTAACGCTAAAACTCACCTTATTTCTCCATTTTCAACCTAAACGCGGGTACGTCTAAAAGAGGAAGCATCATAAGGCTGAACCTCGAACATCAACTTTATCAATTTATTCTATTTAATTCCTTTAACGTTACGTAATAAATAATAATAAAGTAAATTTATAGAGTTATAGAGTTAATTATACACTTTCAAATAAAGTAGCGAAGACGAAATTTGATAAAGGATTCGTAAAGATATACTAAAAACTAAGATTTTTATTCAGATTATCGAGCTTGCGAGAAGAGCCCCTTCGGTAGGAGCCCTCGAAGAGCCCTCGGAGAGCCCTCGGAGGGTTAGAGGGGTTTCAGGGGGTCTCCCCCTGAGTATATCAAATAAAATATTATACCTATCTCTCTCGATTCTCAGGGGTAGACCCCTTAAAAACCCTTAAACCCTTCGAAGCTCTTTAAGGGCTCTCCGAGAGTTTATATCGGAGGGGCTGTTAAAGCAAGCTCGAAATTAATCAAATATCACTAAAATAAGCAAATTTCGAGCTTGCTTTGACAGCCCCTCCGATACAAGCTCTCGAAGAGCCCTTAAAGAGCCCCCGAAGGGTCCGAGGGGTTTTAGAGGGTCTCCCTGAGAATCAAACATAGTCAAAAACCAGTACTCGGCAAGCTTTTCACCACTGGGAAGCCCGCGCCCCAGCACATATTTGTCTTGTCAGCCGCCGCCTGTAGCCGACCCTATCCGGCTAGCGGCTTGCCACATGGCTTTCAAGGTATCGCACATAGATCCCATATCCTCACCAACACTACTGTCATGATCATACTGGATTACCTACACAGCTTACCTCAGAAATAACAGGCAGCGATGATCGCAGGAGCAAGAGCAGACAACGGAACGCGACCATGAGATGTATCAGCCTGCTCAAACTTGATGAAATTTTTACGGATGGGGTTCATGGTATCAGATGTGTAGGAAGGGGGGTTAAGAACTCCACCCACGCCTTTCTTATCCACAAGCAATCCCGCTCTATGCTAATATTCCAAACATCGCGCGACGTCGTTTCTCTGTAATTTGTTGGATTTCCATCGGTCGCCCGTTTTCATCGGTCGCCCGTGTCTTTAGACACACGAAGCGTTTTGCATTGCAAGGCTGAGTCGGCGTTGTTCCGGAGAATCATCCTGAGACAAGGCGGTCAACCTACTGGTCCCATCGCCTCGTGTTCGGTACGATGTTTTGTGCTTCATGTTTTGAAACCTGCATCACGACGTTTCGAGCCTCGAAACATCTTGAATGAGTCGCTGCAAGGCAAGATGACGCATGTATCAGCTGCGTTGGAGGCGAACATCTTTCTTGGGCGACGAGTGGCACAGTATATAAGTGAGACCTTCTCCCACTCATCTTCTTCCGTTAGCATACCTCCCAGAGTCCTCTACTTTGGCACACTTTGCAAATCATCGACCGTGATCATTCATTGCCGTACCACAGACTTTGGCTGTCGCGATCGGAATCGTCCTTTCTCTGAACACAGAGTCCTGCCTCCCTCCTTGCCACTTCAAATCTAGAAACCACTTATCGCGGTAAGTACCCACATAGAAATGTCTTCTTGGGGGCCTAATACTGATCTCTACTTTCTCTACAGTCAGACAACCATGCCGTCCGGGGATAGACTCGACACAGTTCGCATACCACATGATGGCTCTTCATGCAAGGAAATGAGTATGCCTCTCGCCAGCCCTGGCGAAGGCGGTATCAGCCTCGAAAAGTGCAATAATGTCGAAAAGCAGCTCCTATGCTTTCCACAAGCTTGGGCGTGCGAAGCAAAGGACGCGCAAAGGTTCAGCTGGGAACATCGTTCGCTTATTCGCATTAAGGCCGAAAGTCTTAGTGAATTTAGCCCAGAATGGCGGGCAGATTATTTCATGTACACGTGCCTAGACAAGACATCGGGTATGTATATTCTTCGAACGACATCCTCCCAGTTCGGAATGCTTGTCGAGTTGCGACATGCCATAGGAGCAAACAGCACCAGCAACTCCTTCGAGCTGTCTCAATGCTCGCGACCTTTCTTTGAGGAAGCAGTACTGACTCTGGGATTTTCCAGGTCTTCCACTTAACAGATATCTCGACGAAGTTTCTGATACGAAGGTGTACGGAGATGCGATCGTTTTCCAGATGTACAAAGGGCAATACCGTCACTTAGGACGCGACTTCATCTTGGCTGCGGAGGATGAGGAGTATCCAAGGGTCGTATTGCAGGCTATCTTGTCCCAGAAGAATATCTTGACCTCTCAGAATAGCTGATCTCGCTGGCAAAGGGGAAGAAAGAGCGAGCCAAGGACGCTGATGGAGAGCTCCGGCGCTGCTGCTAGAGTTATTCTACTATCATGGTGTTACCTCAGAAGAATAAACTGGTTCACACTCACAGTTAGGCAATATTCGCGAGAAGAGAGATCTTAGTTAAACAAGATATCCTTCTGACTCTGCACCTCCTTCTGCAATGTCGCGCGTATTCCACTTGTGGGGCGATCTTCGCTGCCCACTCGTTGCAAGATTCTCCGTAGTATGGGAAGTTTCCGTCATCCGTGGCGGAGCCGGCATCGTTTCAGGGGGACACGGACGAGACGAGGCTGCAAATCTACCCATGGGTTGAACTCCTTGTGGTGACTCGCTGACAATGAAGATGTCTGCCTCAGGTCTATCGGCTGGAATTCACAATTGCGGAATAGCAGGAGGGTGGTCAGCCGAGACCTCAACGTTTTCTAGCATTGCATATGTCACTGTTGTTTTCCGTTGGAGGAAAATGTTCGCCTCGGAGCTCGTTACAAGTTGCGGGCACGAACACCCAATCGTCCTTGCGATCCGTTCAAGGCGGCCATTTCCAAGGCGACGGTATTGACTCAGATCTTGAAACATGCTCGCCGGCTTTGCGGGCGCCGGCAGCCACTCATGGCACGGCTTGAGAGCGCATTTTGCCATCTACCCAATGCGAGCATTATTGAGGCGGCCATGCCTGTGTGGCAAAAAACCCTCTTCCTCCGATGTCGGTTCTGCTACCATACTCTCCAGTCTCGCGATAGCAATCTGACATCGGCTTCCACTTCCGCCCCCACTTCCACACAAGACTCTCGCCTATGCTACATCAAACACAGCTACCCTAGCCAGACACGAAAAGACGTGGCCTGATCAAGCCGTCATTGAGAGACGTCGTACTCTACAACTTTTACTGTTGTGGAGCAGCCCGCCTGTATCGACGTACTCTACTTCGCATACCAGCCAAGGGTGTAGCCGGCATAGTCCACATCTACGACACCAGATTCAGCAAAAACTACCCCTACGCCCTCGACACGAAAACTGCAGACCTGGAAGCATTCCTCGGGCACGTGCCCGATCTACGTTCGGTCGACGACACTATCAATTTGAAACATCGTTATTCTCTTCAATCACGAGCTTTCCAATACTGCTGTGCCTAAAGGATGGAAAGGAATGTATCTTGTGTACAAGTGCAGGGAATCGTGCGTTGGATCGAGGTACGCACTACCGAAGAGCCAACACTTGAAGAAGGATGCGCTCGTCCACGGAGACGCTTTTGTACTTAGACTGCATGTTGGAATCTGCTGCAGCACCATAGTGTGTTGTAAGCTACCCCTCATGGTGGCAATCAGGTGGCAAATTAGCATGGGCTTCACATGGTATATAAGTAACCTACATACCACTCCATAGCTAATCAATCCTTCATCCTCCATTAAATTCAACACTGCATAAGGACAAGAGGTTCGATCGGCGGGGTAAGGCGAACTATGACCAGATGGAGGAAGATATCGTGGACAGTTCCTATGGTAGAGGCGCTACCTATGTGCTTTTGAAGGAGATGGCTAGATAGTGATCCGGCAATCATCGAGCCGGAGAGAGGGGAAATAGAGTAGCAAGATTCAAGATGAAGGGGATAGTGTACGACGAGCACCTTGTGGCTGGTAGATCTTCATCACTTGCGCTGCACCCTCATCTTGACCTTGTTGAGCCTGAAGAACTTTTCCCCTTGCCCGACTGAGTCAGCGTCGTTGCAGAGACTGTGATTAGGACGAGGCAGTGAGACTGAGCACTCTGAAAGCTCTCGATCTGCGGCCTGCCTCAAAACTCCAGAGGGTACAAGTGGGACCCTCCGGTGAAGGTGTGCTGTAAGGTGAGATGATAGGCCTACCCTTGTTTTCCCTGAGACCGTTCGGCTAATACCCTGTGACATGCAGGTATCAGGCTGTCAAAGTCCAATCATTCTACGCCAGAGAACGCCTCCCCAAACATTGTCATGGCGATACCTGCGGCGACTTTCAAGGCACCTATTAGTGTTATAAAAGCCTTCCTCCCTCTTTTCATTTTCTTTGCTACCAAATCTTCCGAGCTCTCGAAAATTCCCACACTCGTTTCCACTTCCCACCAAAGACTTCTGCCTTCCTTCGGACATCCAGAAAGATTATTTCAATTGCAACTTCCGCTGTCGTAAGCCTCCCCTCTTCCTCACACAAGCATAGCATCATGAACAGGATGCTGATACTTGATTTAGTCAGCCGAGTATGGAGCATCCCAATGCCGGCAAGAAACCAGGATACCAGTCCCGGACTGTTCCGCAGTACCGAACTTCTCCATCCTACGCTGGTCCTAATTCCTACAGTCGAACCACATCGCAGTACTACACTGTTCCATGTCAACCCATGATGGCGGATCTCCCTGTCAGAGAAAATCCTCGCACTACGAAAGTTCCCGCAGCCAAGATCCCCAATGCTGAAGCGACCTTGAAAGTCCTCCAGATACCATGCGATGGCTCCCACATGAAACTGATATCCGTCCCTCTTCTCGTTATCAGCCCCGAGATTGTCGAGAGCAACCATTCTGACGGGCTGGAATCCCATCTTCGGCACGTCCCCAAACTCTGCAACAAGGGCGCCATGTCCTTCGAATGGCACAGTCGCTCGCTGGATACTATGTCTGCCGCCCAACTGGGTCCCAATTGGAAGGAGGATTATTTCATGTACAAGTGCAATGATTCGAAGGCGGGCCTCAAGGCCAACGCATTCTTCGCTCGCGTTCATGGGGCGCGCGTATACGGAGATGCGTTCGTCTTCAGGATGGAACCGGACACTTATGATGGGTTTACTGGAAGGGCAGAATATGTGGACATGGACCACGGTTTTGCCAAGCAAACTGGAGCCATGGAACTACTCGATAATTTGGCTGTGTTGTAGCTCGGAAGAGTAACGGTGGAGGAAGACAAGAGTGAGGCCAATTGTGACGCTGGTGCGAGCGCTGTCGGACTGGGCAGCCACAGACAGACCGAAAACATCTACACAGTATCATCAATCCTTGTTATAGCCACCTACTTCTCTCACTGACTGCATTCGTCTTCTGATTCCAGAATACATTTATGTTGTGGGGCTGAGTCAGCATGGGATTAGAGCACAGAGTCACATCAATAATAGAAAGCTGTAAATCTGTCAAATCTTGCTCGTCCTGCTGGCCACTGTTCTTGGTTGAAAATCCACCTCAAGACATGACACAAGCGTCCCAAACTTGCACCGCGGTCTTATCTGAAACTTGTTGAGCGGGAGAAAGCTTCTGCCTTGCGTGACTAAACCAGCATTGTTTGGAAGAACATGGACGAGACAAGGGGTCAAATCAACCTTAATGTGATGACTCTCGGTGATTTGCTACCCATGACTTTGTCCGCCCAACTCTCCGAGATTCAGATGGGATGGTGTAGCACGAATTTTCCGTAACAATGGCCGGTCGGCCTGGCTATGCTGTAAGCCTTGCTCTTGATTTGCTACCAGTGTAACCTTTCGTCTCGATCCTCTGACATGTGTCGTCATGCATGTTTCGGGCGTCTGAGAATCCAAGCCCAATCGTTGAGTCCCAAATGGCTTTTTTGAAACCTGTCTGAGGCGACTGTACTTAAACAACCAGGTGAGTACTATGAGTAGCCTCCTTCTCCCACCCTTTTCTTTTCTACACTTCTTCATACCTCTAGACTTTTCCCATACCTTGGTCTTTCCACAACAATACTCTTCATTGATCCACACAAGTGGTCCTCCCTCCTCAACGGAATCAGAATGCCAACCAGAACAGGAGATGTAAGTATCCTTTGACAGTACTCATAATCAAAGCATCACATATTGACATGAGCAGGAATGGACGGAATTTCCTTCAAAGTCCCGCTTCATCTCGAAAATCACCGAAGGTTTCTCCGTCCAGCAGTGGGTCGCGAAAGAAGTCCAAGTCCTTCGCATTCCAGTCGACGGGTCTCCCCACGTCATAAAGCTCAAAACCACCGAGATCACAACAAGCAAGGACCGTGACGAAGAGACCAAAGGGGACGAGGAGTGGCTCATGCACGTTCCTGACATACAAGGCTACACGGACGCCGTATTTGACTGGGACTCTCGCTCACTTGTCGCCTCGAAGTTGCGTGGTACTCTTGTTTCGGAAGAACACGAAGGGTGGTGGTTCATGTACAAGTGCAACGAGCGCGGGGCTGGGTCCCTCTCGAAAAAGAACTTCGCTTTTGAAGGACATAGGAAGACGCGGGCTTTTGGGGACATTTTCATCTTCAGGCTGGATGAGGAGGTGATGTGCGATCAGTTGGGGTACGCGAGTTATGGCGAACTTGCGTCACTTCCGGAGGGTAAACATGCCCGTTTCATGTTCGCGCCAATGGCTGCGAAGTAATGGGAGATAGGGGTACGGGTAGGAGGGGCCTAGTAGGGTTGTGATGCTGAGGCGAATTTTGTTAGATTGGGCGAGCGGGAGTAATCTGAAGACAGCTGAAACAAGGCAATCAACTTGAGTTGTGATCAATTCTATACCTTATTGACTGTACCTGTAATGAGTGTCAGAATTCAGATATGGTAGAATGAGTGGTGTGTAGGTTGCATAAATTCTTCTATCTCAGGACTCCCCTGGGCCAGTATTTGTACCCCTCACAAATTAGGTGGTTGTTCCAACAGGTGGCTGGGAGGAGGCTGGGAACCTTATTTTGACAATGAGGACTGTGAGAGGTGGCAAAATACATTGAGCTACATGAGGCTCCACACAACAAGGCAATCTCAAATCGAAGATCCCGAAGGCGTTGAGATGAAAACTTTAAGAAGCTCTGTTCCTCCTCGTCATGTTACTCGTCAACGTCATCTCAAGTCCTGGCAAGGCAGGCTTCCCTTTGCTTGGCATGCCCCTTAAAAGGACACTCATTTCAGGACATGAGACAAGGAAGTGTCCGCCCAAAGACATGATACATGTGTCGTCGAGGTATCGAGCATCAGGAAAACAAAGCCCAATCGTCCCAGGAGTCAAAACGCTTGCTCAGACTAGCTTAGAACCAATGGTCCTCAAGGCGGCGATTCGGGTATTACAGAAAGCTTGTCCCACCCCCAATTGTATCCTTTTGCTAACATTAATTCAAGTCTTTCGGGAAAAAGAACAGTATCACCTTCACAACCCACGAACGTGTTCCTCCTCCCTTTGCCAAGCCGAAAGAGCATAAGACATCGTGGTAAGCGGAAAAGACAGAGACTACGCTGTGAGAAGCATGCTGATCTATATGGTAGTCATTCAAAGATGCCGCGTCTATTCATTAGAAGCCACACCACCACGACGCGCAACCAGTACCAGACCTGAGCCGGAGCATACGACTGTCTTGAATGAACCACCGAAGAAGCCTGCCACCAAAGGTCAGGCGACAAAGAAGCATACCACCAGCAGAAATCAGCTTGTGAGGAAGCCTCTCGCACGCAAAACCCAGCCTGGGACTGAGCAACTCACTGCGGCAAGCCGTCCAGCGAGAAAGCCTTCTGATGTCAAGAGCCCGTCCCCGAAGAACCATACCACTAGCAAAAGCCAGCCAAACGAAAAGGCCGCTACTTCAAAAGACAAGGGCCCAAAGAAGGACACCACTCGCGAAAGCCAGCCAAACGAAGAGGCCGCTACTTCAAAAGGCAAGGGCCCAAAGAACGATAACACTGGCGAAGAGCAGCCAGCAGCGAAGCAATATCCTGCTAAGACCCAGTCAACGACCAAGCAACGCCCTGATCAGAACCAGCCATGAACCAGTCAGCAACCCAGCACCCCACAATCAACAAGCAGCCGGCAGTACCCTCTCAAACCAGTCTCAAGATCATGCGCATTCCATGGGATGGCTCTTCCATGAGAGTAATGGAGGTCGCTCTGAGCGATAGACCCCCTTCGATTTTCACCGACGGCCGCACCGAAGAGCTCGAAGCAGATCTTGTGCACCTTCCCAAACTCTGGGACTGCGTAAGCAGACACTCTTTCCGTTGGGAATTTCGCACCCTCCTCGCCCTTCTCACCCACACGGATCTGAGGACAATAACCCAAAGCATGCGCGATAGGATGGTCACCCCGGACAACTTCTTGTACACATGCCTCGAGGCAGGGTCAGGTCTCCGTCTGAACGGGTATTTGTCTCATCTTTGTGGTGTGAGGGTATATGGAGACGCCTTCATTTTCAGGTGGGATCCGCAGCAATACGGGCCAGATGGGCGTGCGACACTGATAGACACGGAAGAGATTTTTATCGAAAGCGAGTACAATGGGACATTTCTGCCGAAGTTACTGTGTAACTTCTTCAAACCGGGTGAGGGTAAGGGCATCAAGTTGTAATCGGTGGTGGGAGGGAGATTGGGTGGGGGGGGAGGCCGGGGGGAGGAGTTTTGACTGGCCTAGATAAATTGTGATTGAGGAGCACTGGTACGCTGGGCGACCAGAGATAGTCTGGGCGCATTTAGAAAATAATTCTTTTGCCTGTGTCGTGGCTACCTGCATATTTTACGGATCGCGCTTGTCTCCTGAATCTAGCACACGTCTACACTACGGGTCCAAATCAGCATGGTATCAGAACCCATGACTGACTCATTGAATACGTACAAAGGTGCTCGCCTCCAAACTTGAAACAAGTGTCGCAAAGTCATTCCGAGCATCGGAGCCGTCAAGTCCAAGCATCCTCGGGTCAGAGAGCGACCGTGTTCGGTAATCTGTTTCAGGCCAGGGCGACGACTTTGAAGGCGACATGTTTCAAAGCGATAACACGAATACTAAAAAGGGCGTGGTAAACTAGGGTGGTAAACTACAAAAGGCCTTCTCTCCCCCCCAATTTTTCTCTCTCTCTTTCTTCCTTATCCTTCCCAAATTCTCCAAAGGCTCAATTCCTACACACTTCTGCCACAGAATTCCCAGTCTCTCCACCTTCAACTTACACCATCTTACGAGCACAGATCTACTCATCTCCTTGCCGCAATCAGCATCAGTCAGTTACCTGCAGCCTCCTTCATCATGAGCATTCCCTTGTCGGACAGCGTACATGATCATTCATGCTGACCTACTGCAGTCAATCAAGTATGGAGGCTTCTTCTAACCTGGAGGTCGGTGGAGTACCTTCGGTGCCGTGAGCATTCCCTGTCGGACAGCGTACACAATCTGGCATGCTGATTTACTACAGTCAGTCGAGCATGGCGACCACTACCGATCTCAAGGTTGTTCACATATCCTATGCGCCCGGAATTGATCCCCTTAGTCTGATGAAAATGCCACTCGCCAACATCGGCAGTGGAGATATCAGCGAGGACGAGTGCAACGGTTTCGAGAAACAGCTTGAGCACATTCCCAACGTGAAGTCATACAGTGACTCGAAGACCTTCAGCTGGGCCCATCGCTCCCTCTTTGAGATCGGAAATGAGAAATTGGGTTACGGTATCGGAAAAGAGCCGATGATCTACATGGTGTATATGTGCAAGGATGCGAATGCGGGACTTCCACATAACCAGTACCTAGAAGACATGGTCCGGAATGTTAGCGATCATCCACGCGCGACTCTCATGCCCCCGATCAAGGTATATGGAGACGCTTACGTTTTCATGAGGAAGCCGCATTTCAAGGGATCGGATGAGTCTCAGCGGGCGACATATGTTGACATGGATGAGGGTTTTGTTGAGGACGCGACGCATGGTTTCCTTGCGCAGTCTATGTTGCGAAACCTCTTGATGTATTCGCCGGAGAGAATGTAAATCGCGACCGGTCACGAAGGAAGATGCATGCATGTATTTACCAATTCTTGCGAAGGTGCTAGTTTAATTGACTGTCAGGATGTTTCCTGAAAATAGCCCCTGTTTCACTCTCGCAACTCCGCATTGTTCTTAAGATAGGAAGATCGGCTGGCAAAGTAGTCAAGAAAGGTAGCGAGTTACGCCGGTATTCTTTGCTTAGGCCAGCCTTATGGTGTCTGTGCGTGAAACACACTCCGCCTTGGGTTCTGATACATGTGTCATTACATGTGTCACAGCGTCTGGAGAGCTCATTTCAAACCATTCAAGGTGGACCAGAGCCTTTCCAATGTTTTCAAGGCGACCATGTACGAATACAAGGCACCCTCTCCTAGTCATGTCTTCCTTGTTCATACCTACCCAAGCCCCCGTTCCCATCTCGTCTTTCATCTGCACCATCATAGTCACATTCCACACACTCCTTTTCCCTCTTGAGCGCAATCGAAATGAGTCAGGCATCGGCACTGGTAAGCATCCACCGATCGAACAACAAGTCGGAAAATAATACTCAAAAAGCCAGACCAAAAGAACGCCAGCAAAGAAACTCCAGGTCGCTCGCGTACCAGCAAACGGTTCCTTCCGTCCCTCTGTCAGCAAGTCTAAGACGTCGCCTCCCAAAAAGGTTCAGATCGTTCCCGTGCCAATCGAAAACTCCTCTCCCCCCCACCGCCATCGAATCAAAACTGTGTCCTGGCCCCGAAGTCGAAGTCGTCCACGTACCGGCCAAGCGCAAATAAGCCCCTCACATGATCTCCGTCCCTACTCTCGAAGTCGACCCCGAAACCGCTCCCAATGCCTCTACCGCCGAGACAGAAAAGAAAGCTCAAGCGTGTTCCCGACATTCAGTCCCACCGGGATACATTCGATTGGGATCCTCGCTCCGTTGTCGAGGCGGTCATGAACGTCAATACTGTCTCGGACGGGTGGGAAAGAACGTACCTTGCGTACATATGCAACGAATCCGAGGCGGGCCTCCAGGGCGAACGACCACTTCGGACCTGTTGCCGGTGTACGCCCATGCGGAGATGTTTTTGTCTTTAGGCTCAAGAAGTTGGGGAGCGCCAAGTCGGGGAGTGCAAAGTGTGGCAGGATGGAGTATGATTTCGCGAAAAGTTACCTTCATTCGCATGGCCAGTGCAAGACTGTGCGCGTTGGCGGCGTGCGAGTGATGGGTGTGAACGGGGACATGTACAGGCTAGGAGTCGTCGAGGTACTGATGTGAACGGCGCTGGATTTGGCGAACAGAACTAATTTGTCTGAATAGTTCTCGATTGGAGAGATTACTTTTGGTGTGTACGCTAGTCTCCGTCATTGGTTTCAACTCTGTGCTACTAAAAAATCCTAGGAGAGGCAGTAAAAGAACAGTGGGCAAAGTGCACAGGGCGGCAACCGATAACATGCGTAGAAGGCCCATGAAACGGGTAGTGACAGCGACAATCCTTTCTCCCACCTGGCCGAGACAGTATCGGACCAGTGAAAAGCGGTAGACCCACCGGCATCGTTCTTTTTCGTTTCATTATTGGCTCCGTACTGAAACATCTCACCGCCATCTCGAGTCACACGTCGCAGGATAGAGGGCATCCAAGGCCGATCATTTGAGATCGAGAAAGAAATTTCGAAACGTCTTTGAAGGCGAGTGTAAACAATGCGACCGTGTGAATAGTATAAAAAGGCTTCTTTTCTCTCCCTTTCTCCGTCTTCACACCGCCCAAACCTCTCCTTCCTTCCAACCTTCGCCAGCCCTCCAAGCTTCGCCAGCCTTCCAAGCTTCGCCAGCCTTCCAAGCTCATAACCTCATAGACTTCTACAGCCTTGCAACCTCTTCAGTGTCTCAACCGAGAGCTCAACACCCTTTGCCGCAGGCTATAAAGTCTTTCATACACCGTTTCAGACACATCATTTGGCTCAATCAGCAGACGCAAGACTTAAATCACCTCCCAGCCGTAAAAACCTCGCCTTCGGGGACTATGTTGTGTGTTCCAAGATGACTGATGTCCAGTCGTCCACACTGAAGGAGCCGAAGCCCGTCAAGGTCATCTGCAGACCATGTAACGGAGATGCTCTGGCCATCCAAACTATCTCCTTTGTTGACCACTGCCGAAGTCAACCGGGAGGTTTTAGTGGTTCAACGATAGGTAGCTGGCGTCCTCGAAGATACCTCATCCACGTTCCCAATCCTAAAGAGGACCCATGCGCAGACAATCTCAGCTATGGTTGGTATAATCGCGCGCTCGTTGACCTCGGTATCATGGATCCGGATCAAACGCCCGGAGATGGTTCGACGCCTTGCGGGCCTTATTTCACGTGCAGATTGTAACGAATGAGCATTCGAAGGGAGTCCCGCGCGTACTGCATGTCTACGGGACTGCTTTCACATTCAAGGTGAAGGGGAAAGATGATCGCGGCGTGTTGGGTGTGGCGATGTGGACGAAGCTATCATCCAGGATGCGGTCAAGGGGAAAAAGATACGAGGGTCATGAAAAGTACTAGGAAATGACCTTCAGAAAACTGTATTGAAAGCCTTGATTGAAAGTCGTAAGTCGTGACCAAAAATTGAATCGTCAAGTGCAAAGGTCCCCCTCCAAGATCTTCCAATATGCTTCAGGACAGCAACGCAGGACATTGCTAGCATAGCAGGTCACAGCTAGCGAGGCGGGGCAAATCTGCTTGGGTAGCTTCCATGGTGGGCGACGATGAGGCTTGCTGGAAGGAGTGATAAAAGGCGTCCATCCTTCTGCTTGATCCCAGCGACCACACGACCTTCGTATTATGCAACCAGTTTTGAGGCGACCGGTGCCGTGGTTTCCGCCCGAAGACTGTTCCTTCATCTGCTTGCGCTCGGTTTTAGCAGCCTTGCACTTAGCTCCATCCATTGCTTCCTTGTTGAGAGCCTTTCTAGCTTTCTTCTTTGCTTCCTGTTCATGCGCCTTGCGGTATTCAGAACAGATATTGGCCTTTTCTTCATCCTTGATCTGCTAGCAGCTCTTGCTCATTTCGAAATAGGTCCTTGACGTGAAGCACAAGTTTGTCATCGAAATTGGGCTCACAGATCTCTGGGCAGCCGCATCGATGGGCTCGTTCGTCGGTGAGTGTTTGAATAAGTACCAAAGGGAGTGAGGAGATAGGGTGTGGCACCGTTTTTGGCCAGATTGGTTTGATCCGGATTACTCATCACCATAATGTTGCTGTTCTTGCTTCCCGACACCGTCGCTGAGCAAATCTCCTCCTCCGTTATTCTCTCCCAAGAAATCTGCTTCTCCTGGCTCTTGCTTGATTCCCTGCTGCTTATCATGTGCTGCTGCCTCTTGCTTTTGCTTGCCAGGCGTTGTAGAAGCTTGCTTTGCAGTAGCGGGGTCCAGCAGCTCTAGCATATGTACTCCGATGGTCTTGATGATTGATTGGTCTCTAAAAGCTTGGTATGCCATAGTTGCAATTGATACACCATAGGAGCATAGCTCATGTCTGGTCAATTCAGCAGCCTCATTTGTGCTGGCGACAATGTGGCGAACGATCTTGTTGTGCTCTTCTGCTGCGATGTGAGTCCCTGGAATCATTGAGAGAAGTCTGCTTATGATTTCGCGGTCTCTGATCCTGTGTTTTAATCCCTGGTGCGATGCTCGGGTTTTTTATATTTTCAAGCCTGCGGTTGGCATTCGTGATGATGAAGTTGAGGTATGTCTTGAAAGTGTTCTTTCCGATGTGCTTGGCGCTTGTTGGTAGCTTGTTGTACGAAAGTGCCGGCATCCTGGTGAGCATAGTAGGGAAGATGGCACTGTGAAATTCGAGAGACTTTATGCTGCTGAGCATGGTCCCGTCGACCTCATCTGAGCAGACCTGTTGCGGCTGGTGCACTCGCTGCTTCACCTGCTCCCAGAAGTCCTCGTCCTCCTCGGATGCTTGAGCTGTGGTTCGCTCATAGGTGAGGGTAATCGTTGTTCCGTTGCTAAGGCTTAGCACTGCTGGCAAGTGAACTTGATCATCTGACGATTTGAGCCCCGGCAGGTGCTTGGGTAGGACTTTTGGTCTGTTGGCCTCTGATAGCACGTCGGTCATCTTGGATCCCTTGCTAGCAGACTTTAACGAAGGATTTTCAGATAGCATGCGAGGAGATCCGGAGTCGGAAGCATCGGGTTCGTCGAGATCAAGTAGTCTTCGCTTTTTGCTGAGGCCTGCTTTCGGTTTCGAAGCACGAGATGATCCGACACTCATTGTATCACTGTCTTCGGCACGTCGTTTGTTCGGGCGGGCGCTAAGAGGGGCCAGACCTTCACCAGCCTCTATTCCTTGCTGGAGCTCCTTGTGCTTTTGGGCCCCTAGGATCCCTGCTCCGGCTTTGGTTAGCTTTCGCTCTCCTTCGTCCTTTGGACTCGTCATGGTTGTATGTCAGGGGAGGTCAGGGTCACGGCGGGGTACGAGCGCGCGGAGGCTCGTCGGCCGACTCCTCAGGGTACTCCCAGCGCTCCCAGTCCATGGAGTCGTGGTCAGGAGGGAAGGTGGAAGGATCGGCGGCATTGCTGTCAGTCTGCATGGGGTCTCCCTCGTCGTCTGAGTCCATGCTGAAAGAGTTGGCTTGGGAGCCGGGAATCCCGGCGCCTTGGTTGCGTGCATTGTCGTATTCGTCGGGCACCTCTTCGACGCTGACAACATAGTAATTAGGGGCCACTGCATGCAGCTATTAGCATGCTCGCATCGAAAGAGGGAAAGAGAGTATGTGTGGAGAATGTGCGAAGAATGTGTGGGTAGTTGTGGCTAAAAAGGATGGTTGAAAAGAATTGAAATGAAGAGGAAGTGAGGCTCTGGAATGGAGTACGAGAACGGGTATATAAATATCTCTTCGTGCGTCCCGAAGTAGATAGTATTTATATAGAACTTATGTAGGATGTCATTATACTAGTTAACATCCAAACATCTGCGCGGAAAATCGAGGTAAGATCCTATACTTTTGAATGCCTCCTCTTCATCTCAGATCCTAAGATATTGCGTCATGATCTTGCTGTTTGTGGTTTTGACGTGGAAGGGAATTAGGTATAGCGTATTAGGTATCCCGTTTTATTGTATTCAAGACTACTCATGGACTCCAGAAGTGAATTACTTGATGAAGTGAAGACACCAATAGATTTTTCCACTTAGTGGGATGTCGTTTGATCTATTGGTGTCCTCGCTCTGTTAAGTAATTCATTTCTGGAATCCACGAGTACTTAAGTGAAAGCGCCTTGCGTTCTCTCTATGAGTACTCTGACTGGAAGCTGGGAACGGAGTGAACTCCCGAAGAACGGCTTTGTATGAAGACCCTTCTCTACCGCCTGAGACGATTTATCGTCTCTCTTTACTGAAGTCCTATCGCTCACCTAGATCATCCTCACCGAAAACAAGCTCACTGAGCTCCCTTCACCACCAGAGTGATGCGGAGATTCAAGCGGCCGAAAGACGACACGCGGTAACTGAGAGGATCCCTCACCTAGATCGCACACACCTGAGAAGGCTATCCCTTCGACCACCAGAGTCAAGCGGAGGTTCGAGCGGCCGAAAGGAGACGTGCGGCTGTTGAGAGGACGGTGCGGGCGCCGGGGCAGCCTGGCTTCTACCGGCAAGCACTCGGTTATGGATGTCGATTTGCCAATGTTGATCGTGGTACATCCCGGTTCTTCGATTCATTGGCCCCCGCCACCTGTCCGACACCGATGCCGGACCTCCATCCGTACGGTAACCTTCTGGTGTGCCGCAGGTTGGGCATTCGTGGTGTCTGTTCCTTGCGGCGATGGCCCCTTCGTCCATGCCCAGCATGCGGTAGCAGTGTTGGCGCTCACTCCCACTGAATGTGGTGTCTTCCTGGATCGCGCGCCGGATCACGGCCTCGAGGCGGTTTGGCAAGGTCGGATAGTTGTGTCCGAGGAGCCATGGTATAGGTGCAATTCTTCTGACCGCCTTGTCTGTTTTGTTGGGGGAAGGGGTCGATGCCTAGCATCCTGTGAAGTCTGTCGGAACTATCTTTATCGAAGTCGCGTTTTTGGATGGCGTTGCGTATCATGGTCGTGAAATGCGGCTCGTATAGATGTGGGAGCATCATTGAGCCTACAAGACCTATGTCGCAGGGTTTGAATTCACATTCGCGGGCCCCTATGATCGGAAGACATTCTGGTCCTTGGGGCGCTACTGGTGTCGGGGCTGGATGTAAAATTGGAGTCGACACGTGCTCGTGTTTTGGGCAATAGGGATCGAAATGACCCTCCTAAAGGTGGCTGCAGGCTGGGATTTATAGGAGTAGTCATTTTGGTTTGGCAGCGTTGTCAGGGATGGGAACGTTGGTGGGAAAGGCAGAGAAAAGGGTTTTCCTATAGACTGCTTCATGTTTGCTGGTTGCCTTGCTGAGACCTGCCGAGAAGAAGAAGAGTCGAAAATGTTTTCAAGGTCGCGTTTTTGATCCATCGTGTGTGTGGTGTGTGTGCTGGCAGGGAGTTCTTAGCGCGAATCATCTCCGAGTATCATATACAAGGGAATGGGGCATCGAGATTGAGACCCTGCATTCACCATGTAGTGGACTAGAGTATAACAATCATCGTGACAAAGCGCCAATGACATAGAGGTCGAAGCGCCAGCAAGATTTATTCAGAAACAGGTTTCTCGAACACCAGAGGGTAAATCGCTGGGCACTGGAAGGAAATCCCAGTAGCTCTACCGTTGACATGTATGGAAGAATCGTTGTCTGTTATACCTTCGCAGGATTTTCCGTTAGTATTGCCGAGGGACGAGCTGTGGGAGAAAAGGATCAAGAGAGGAGATATATGGCTAAACATAGGCAAGACTGACAAAGAAATAGGCAACACAGGGTCGCTGCACGGGGTCATAGACTTTTCTGCCACCATTGTCCAATACCATCAACTCTTTCTCCGTCCAAACTTCTAACATCTACACTGAAGCAATACTTCCACCTGCAGTATTGCCGCTGTCCGCACGATCGCTCGACCCTACAATTACAACCGAGGCATTTGAAGTCGTCGTGCTCGGAGCAGCTGGAGCTTCCCCTATACTAGCCGAGCTGTGGCTGTCCCGGACGAGGTGCCGGTTGTCGGTCGTACGCCATAAACGATCTTGAAGAGGGAGCTGGCGACAGAAAACTTAGGCTGCCGAGACGGACCGATCGGCCCGTTGGACTAAGCTAATTTAGCTGGGAGGCCCCCACCAAAACCCTCGCATTTTACCCTCGTCTTTCCAATCTCTCGGTACGGAGGTCTGCACCAAAAGACCTGCACCCGCGCTAGCACCAGCCCTAGCCCTACTTTCGGAAGGCGGCCCTGCAGTGGGAACCCTGGAGCTAGCTTTAGGGAGCGCATACTCTGAACTTTTAGGGGTCTATGTGGGCGCTATAGGGTCCTTGAGCCCCTAAGTGGGCTGAGTTCAGGTGCAATTCCGAAATTCTAAGCGCATTGTCCAGGCAGGAACCCTTGAGGTGGGGCGATATCCGACATCTGGACCCTTTCCTTGGCATGGTGCAGGACTTTTGGTGCAGACCTCCGTAGGCATTTACAAATGAGATGTCATCGTTGGGGCTCTATAATACAAGCATGAATGATAACCACCGATGCGGCGTCAAGTCCAGGCCTTACACAAGATTGCCGCAATCCTAAAGTACCCCCCAAGAGACTTCCACTTCAAGGCGAGATTTTCGACTCGCCTCCAATTGAGTCGACGATCGGGCTTGAATTGAGGCAGACTGGTAAGTGAATCACCAGATTGAAAATGTGTTCCCAGTTCACTGTCTTGACTGTGGTCGTATTCGTGACGTTGCGACAGAATTCGTCGCCGAGGAGCTTCCTCGGTGCTTCAACAAGCAATATGCCATTTCCCATTTCCCGTCGAAGGATGAGGACCCCTGTGTGTACTTCAAGGTACGGAATTATTGGTGGCTTGAACTAGCCAAGTCTATTTCTGGAACGGGTGCAAGCTGCCCTGAATGCAAAATCTCCGTACAGCGCTATTGAATCTACATTAACAATTCCCATTTTCGCCTCCTTCTCACTGTTTACCAATGTCGGCCTCAAGAATTCGAGGAGCATCAATTCGCTGGCATGGATCCATTGGAGAGAAGTCTACATTTTATGCAATACGGCAAGCAAAGGATAGGGACCAATGGAGTGCGAGAACGGGTCCACAAGTATTCCTTCCTGCGTCCCGAAGTAGAGAGTACTCATGCAGGACTTATGCAGGCTGTCACTATGCTAGTCAACATCCAAACATCTGCGCTGACAAGTATGTCACCAATACCTCTGCCCAAGTGGAGCATGGCAAAAGACTATGACAATCCAAAGCACCAATTGCGCATCATCTGCTTTTTGACCATTTTCCTGTTCAAGCTTCCGTCTCGGGGCCTTGCATGATCACTTTCGCCTTCCCCTTTCGCTTCTCCTCCGCTCTACTCCATAATTATTTCAAGTCCCAACTATAAGAAGGCCAGAAAGACCCCAGAACTGACCTCCGCTGCCCATTCCTTCACCGCGTCATATCCCGTTACGCTCGTCACATCACCACAAACATGCTCCTCCAATCCCGTTGGCTTTCGAGCTTGCTCTTCATCGCATCAGCAGCTGCCTACGCCTACCCCCCAGCGGGCCTGAAACCACGCTACCTCGCCACCGGCACGGGCATCTCACTGCCCTCGACCAGTCCACCGCCCTATCCCACCAGCAGCGCCAACGGAACCTCCGTCTCAACCTACCCGACGTCCGCCTCCACAACGGCAACGCCCACCCCGACATCATCCGAACTCTTCTTCCTCGTCGCCGCGGACACCGGCACCGACCTCGACGGCGACTACGTCTCCATCGGCTCCGACAGCAGCGGCAACGGCCTCCTGGTCCTCTACTTCGCCGCCGGACCGAACCAAGTGGCGTCCTTTTCGACCTTCAACATCAACGCGGACGGCACGCTCGAGAATGAGTTCGTCGGAGGCATCGCGAGCATATTCGCCGGCTCCAAGTACGACAGTCTGCACTTCGAAAACGAGGTCTTTGTCGACGAGGCTGGGGACACGAAGTCGATCTGCGAGGTTGTGGGCGGGGCCCTGACCTGTCAGACGGGGGCGGCGACGGTGTTCTTTGTGTGTCCGGAACAGGACATTGATGGATCGCTTATTGGCGGGACCGTGGAAGTGGGGCCGACGACGCAATCGGGGTGTACGACGCTTACTTTGCTGGCGGTGCCCGTTTAGGTCGGTGAGGTTGGGTGGAGGATTTGGACAATAGGGTAGGAAACGACACGAAGACATAGATAGATACAAACGACTTTGCTTTTTTGCGGCGGATAGAGTGGATGTTGATGCACCTTTTGCGTGCTGTTAACGGTGTACTACTTTATAAACATTCCAGACACAAGAAAATAGACTTCACAATCCGCTCTGCTCCGAATGAAGCAGACCATCAAGTCTCGACTCCAATCTTCCAAAGCTAGATATTATACTACACACCCCATTCAACAACAACATCATCATTCGTCTCTAGCGGCTTTTAGTGCCCGCACATGTAGTATACATACGAACCCCATCCCCCCCCCCCAATTTCCCAACACACATCAGCACCCCCTGACCCCAAAAAAGAATCCCAACAACAACCACCAGCGCCATCCTTCCTCCCCCCTTCCCCCCTCCCTCCACCACCATTGAACCTACCCCAAATCCCTCAAACGGACTCCCCCCCTATCCCTTTCTCTCTCTCCGTGTTCCTAAAACTAGGTGTGCATATCGCAAGAACCCGTCACACACAGGACCTTAACAACAATAACCCCAACACCAACCCCCCTCTCCCCCCCCCGGCCTTCAACCAAACATACCATTCACTCCCCCCCACAGCGCCATCTATATACAACAAACGACCCCCAAAATCCCAAACCCCGACGAAAAAACCCCCCGCGCCGCTTTCAGATCCCAATCTATGCCTCCCCATCCCATCCCCCCCCCCTCCCCCAACCCTTAACCCCCCCCTCCTTCCCCATACCCCTTGACCAACCCACCAACCGCCCCTCCAAGCCCATCCACGAAACCCCGCACGTCCACAAGAGCACGTAGCAAACCTCCCCGCACGGCGGGCGCAAAACCCCCTTTCGACGGGACTTGTACAAGTCCGGACAGATTGCCCGACAGCGGTGACGGTTTCCCATGGGATTGTTTCATCGGCGGTGACCAACCTTGGCGAGTTTTTCATGCTCGAGGAACCCGGTCCCCCCCCCCCCCCCCCCCCCCCAAAAAAAAAACCATAAACTAATGCCCCAAGGATCGTTATTCCCACCTGCGAGGAAGTCCCTCTATATTTGAATATCGAATCCTTTCCTATCGCGAACCGATATCTATCTATCCCCTCTATGCACGCATGACTTTTGCTACGTTCTCTTACCCGCGCCGACAATGGTGACCGTGTCCGCCGAGCACGATGGGACCGAGGCTGTGGGGTCAAAGGGTACGGACGGACGGATGATGGGAGGAGGAGGAAAAGAAGGTGCGTGTATAAAAGGCGGACTGCATCCTTGGCATGAGACTCCGCGGTCGGGTAGCGGTTACAGAGAAAAGTCTTGGGGTGATTGATCTCCGCCATCGATGGAAGGAGCGCAAGGGGCAAGCACAGACGAAACAAAACGAAACGAAACAAGGAGATGTAACATACCAACCAAGGATCCAGATGTGGCAGTCGACGATGATTTGCTCAGCCGTGCGATTGGTTGGAAAGAGGGAGTCGTGGGGAGATGACAGTTGAGAAAATTATACCAGTCGGTGCTATGTAATCCGCAATACGGATCGGGGAAGGATGGCGAGCTATGACCGCGCTCCTGAAGCGGGGTTAGATGTGCAAGGTAAGTGGGTATTTTCGGGCGGATCGGGTTGCGGAAAATGTTTGCGTATGCGCCGGCATGCCCACGACTCCATTCCCCTTCCGATGCTGGGGTATAACGGGTACATCTCCGACGCAGAATTACGAGCAGACCTGACAAAATATGCTCATACCCAAGTATCTGTGTCGCCCAAGACTCACGTGGTATCGCCGT